GGAGTCAAATGCTAATAGAAATGGAGGTGACTAAATGGGACATAAAGATTCCTGTGGGCCATATATTGGTTTAGTTTTAAAATGTAATATTATTTGTTTTATTGTATTTTTTTTAATTTTGATAAACACTTCCCAATTGCATTTTAATCTGGTTCAGGCCACATCTGTGTGATTGACACCTCTGGTTTAGGCCACAGGTTCTTAATCTAGGTTTACAGATGTGTGGATAAATATCAGGGGGTCTGTGAACTTGGACAGAAAACGAAAAAGATAACTTTCTCTTCGCTGACATATAACTGAAGTCTAGCATTTCTTTCAATTATGAATGTAGGCAACATTATTTTGAGAAGATGAAACTAGTTGGTTCAGTGGATAGAATGCCAGGCCTGGAGTCAGGATGACCTGAATTCAAATCTGGTCTCAGACACTTTCTAGCTATGTGACCCTGGAGAATCACTTAACTCTGTTTGCCTCAGTTTCCTTAACTGAAAAATGAGCTAGAGAGGGAAATGGCCAAGAAATCTTCAAATGAGGTCACAGAGTCAGAAACAACTGAAAAGACTGAACAACAAAGTGAAAAGAGATGAGATACTTGAAAAAAAACAAACAAAAACAAACTAACAGCTCTTCTTTGCATGGTTCCTTGGCATGAGGGCAACAGTAGGGGCTAGTGGACCCCCTATTGCTAAAGATATACCTATCAGGGATTCTGTAGAATGGATTCCTAGTCAGGCATGAATTGTTCTAGGCAGGGGCATATGGGGATTCTTCCAACTCTGAGATTCTGTGATTCTATGAGCCTTTAAATTCCTATTAAAATGCAAGAATTTTTTCTTTGGGAGAATTAGTGCAATAGGAAAACAAAACAAAACAAAATCTTTGCCCTTTCTCTCTCTGCTCCCTCCCCCATATTTTTCTTTCATTTTCAGTCATCTTATTAACAAAGAATGAGATCCTGAAGGAATGTGTTCTAAGACAGGTTAGCTGGCATGGGACTGCTATAGGGATGAGTCGGGGGAACTCTGCCAGGAAGGGAAAGCCTAAACAGGATAGGATAGGGAAACTCTGGTCAGTACTGGAAGGGGGTTATTTAAGATTTGTGCTTGTTGGAGAAAGGAGATCCCACCACAGAGATAGAAGAGCAATAAAATTGATCTACCTGCAAATTTTGCCTTAGAGCAAGCCCTAGAGAAAAATTACAAGGTTTTGGTTTTCTTGGCCTTCCCCGCCCCCCCCCCCATACTAACATTAACATTGGATCTCCCATTTTTTTTTAAACCTCAGAGCACTCTTCTATTTACCTGAAACTTATTTCTCCCCCACATTTTCCCCTTCCATCTCCTTCATAAATGCTCACATAGGGTACCAAGAGCTGGTTTTACTTTTACATTTTTACTAACCAATTCCCCCCCCCCAGTGTAATGAGTATACCTAGAAATATGACATTATTCTAACATTATTATATTGTGAACTCCTGCCCAGCCCCATTCTGGCATCTCAGTGATCACATATTGCCTTTTGCAGTAATAGCACAATAATACACTCCTCTAAGTTCTAAAATAAAAATTAGATTCATTTCCTACATGTAGCAGATGAAGGATAGCCTAGTCAGAGAAAAAGCCCCTTAGTTAATCAGTGCCACTTACAGGACCCACAGGAGATTTTCCTTTGCATTCTTTAGGTTGTCATTACCTCACCCAGGCCATCTCCAAGAGAAAGTTCATTTTATGATTTTCTCTCCTTTAAGCTCTTTTTCTAGCCTCCTCATTTCTCCAAGCCAGAGAATTGGAATTTGAAGAGCCTTTTTTTCATACAATGTATTCTAAGGTGCCTAGTAAAGTAATGAGGTCCCTATATTGGGGTAGTTGTTATGTGCAGTTTATCAAAGATTACTCTGTGCCATCTAATAGAGAGGTTTCTTACTATTTCCAATGGGTATGTTTCCAGTTTCCTTAGATTTTTAGTGGTTTCTTTGTTGTTCAAAGGTCCTTTGTTAGAATCCTACTTTTGCTACTTCCAACTTGAGTGACCTTAGACAGGTCTTCGGGCACTGTGGTACAATAGAAAGAATGTTGGATTTGAATTCAGATGACCTGAGTTCAAATTCTGGATCTGTGAAATTTACTTACTTGTCTGACTTTGGGCAAGACACTTAACCTTTATGGGTTTCAATTGGCATTGTGAAAGGGGATTGGATGATATGGTCCCTTCCAGCTTTAAATCTGTGGTTCTTTATCTGTAAAATTAGGGGTTTGGACTCTAAGACCCATAAGGTCTCTTCTATCTCTAAATATGTGATCCTAAGACCCAATGAGAAGGAAATGGAGAAAGAAATGACAAACCACTCCAGTATCTTTGCCAAGAAAACCCCATGGACTGTATGGTCCACAGGGTCATGAAGAGTCAGACATGACTAAACTGAACAAGGCCTAGCTTTGGTTTTGACTAAAGGCAGCATAGTAGAATCAATAGAATACTGGTCCTGGTATAATGAATCAATCAATCAACAAGATTTATTAAGCTCCTACTATGTGCCAGGCTCTGTGCTAAGACAGGGGATACAGTAAATGAAACCAAAAATTTGGAGCTGAAAGACCTGGGTTAGAATCTTTTTGTTTTGTTTTGTTTTTCAGGCAATTGGGGTTAAGAGACTTGCCTAGGGTCACACAGCTATTAAGTATCAAGTGTTTGGTCTGAGTCCGGATTTGAACTCAGGTCCTCCTGACTTCAGGGCCGGTGCTCTACCCACTGCACCACCTAGCTGCCCCCTGGGTTAGAATCTTGCCTCTGATACTCAGCAGCTCTGTAACCCTGGGGTAGTCTCTCACCTTTTCTGAGTATGTTTCATGTATACAATGGTGACAGTATTATTGCTGACCTCAGAGGTTTGTTGTGAGAGTCAAAGAAAGGCTTCCTAAGCTTAAAATGTTGCATAAACATAGACTAGTACTGTTGACTAAGGTTGAAAGAAGGAAGGGAAAATAGCCAAGGGTATTTCCTACTTTTGTCCAAATACTTGGAAAAGAACAAAAACTTACAAGTCCTGTAATAATTTGGAGGACCCTTGTTTTAAAGGGGAGGGAGGAGGAAATTTAAAGAACACTAATCTTTACCCTAGAACTAACCAGTCATAATTCAACTAGACAAATTACAGTTCAGTAGTGAGAGTGCATAGAGAACAGCCCACACATAGAATTTTGGCATAGAACACCCAGACGACCCTATTCAAAGTGGTTAGTGCCCTCCAATTTGGACACCATGTGTTTGGACATCTCAGAGCACTATGAAAATGTCAGAAATGATTATTCATCTAGTTTGGTATTGCTTGTCTTAAGGGTATTTCTCTCACATCATTTGATGAGGATATAAGTGTCTTTACTGATCTCTTATATGCGTTCCTTTATGAGATCTCATCTACATGTGCACGGCATTGTGGTTGGGAAGAAAGAGAGACACCAATTTAGTGTGTGAGAGTGAGTGAGTGTGTGTGTGTGTTTGTGTGTGTGTGTGTGTGTAGTTCTCAGCTCCAGAGGCATCTCTAACAGAGATGCCAAGCTGTCAAACATTAAATCAAGAAGACGATCCCTGATGACTTTGCTTCAGCTGGGAGTCCTTCTTTTGTTTCTCTGCGGTGTCTGCTGGTTGTTTTCATTCCCATCAGGAGAGCTGTTGGATATGGTCAGGCAGATTTGAAGCTTTTTTTTTTTCTGTTCCATTTCCATTTTGGGTGACAATTGTACTTATCTGTCTTACCTTGTATTTGGAAGTTACTGATGGGAGTGAGGGAGGAGAGGCTGATGCAATTGCATTGTGTTGGCTCCATTTTTTCAGTTGGCTTTCATTTTGTCTATAAAATCCCGTACATTTCTACAGTTTGAGAGGCAAAAATAAATAAATAAATAAACAAACAAACAAACAAACAAATAAATAAATAAATAGAAGGAAAGAAAATACACTCAATTTAGGAAGACCTCTAATCTCTGCTTCTACAGGACAGCTTTGTTAGATAAGATTAAAAATTTCATGAATGTGCCCTTTTATCCCAGGAGACCCCACATTTGTACCAGTTATTGTCAGCCATGGCAGAGCTTGATAACAGCTGGCTAGAGATTTGACCACACAGTAGCAACACAACAGAAATTGGGCAGGCTGGCTCATAAATCTGAAGCAATCTGATTCCTCAGTAGAGTATTGAATCTGTTCCTGTATGGGTCAAGGGAGGGAGGCATTGTCTGCTTGCCAACTTCCCTCTCCACCCACCCCCCCCAAAAAACAAAAGAAAAGAAAAAAAGAAAAAAAACCAAAACACTGAGAAACTGCTAGAAAAAAAAATGCCATCTATGACCAGAGAAACTAATTATTGAATTGTTTGTATTTTTTCCTGATTTTACACAGTGCAAACTGTTAAGGGTGCCATGTTTGGCATTTTAATTGGAGTTGTTAAATTATACAAACTGTTTATACTACAGAATCATGTTTCCCTTTTCAGGGAATTGAACATATGAATTCTCATCCACATACTCCCATCCCCTTAAGAGAGCTTTGAATTTTTTTTCATTTTTTTTAAATGAAGTTTAAGACCACTAAAATGCCACCCATTAGTAATTTGGAAGGAGGATGATCCAGTTTTACAGAGCTGAAAGAAACTCTTCTAAAAGCTTTTGTGTTTTCAAAAGGTCAGAAACAAGTCAGCATTCTATAACTTTGGCCTTTTATGAGGGATTGGCCATAGGCACTGTGTAACACCATAGCACTTTGGACCACCGAGCTCTGACTTCAGGGATCCTCTTTAGAGTAAAGACCAGGAAATCAGAATGCTTGGGAATTCTCTAAAAATAAGACCTCTTTTGTAAAGTGGAATGGGGTAAGGGAGTAGGGATGAAGATGGTCTACATGTGTAAAAAGAAAAGAAAGGATAAAATTGACTCATTATGATCATTAATGTTAAGAAAATTATTAAAATAAACTCTTTGTTTCTGTCTTTTAAATGTTTCTGGCAGCTCCCTCTTCCATCGCTTTGATCCAGGCTAAGGAAATAACGAGATACAGTGTTGCCCTGGCTTGGCTGGAACCTGATCGACCAAATGGAGTTATCTTAGAGTATGAAGTCAAATATTATGAGAAGGTATGATTTAAAAAGAGGAAGTCAGATTTTCTTTTGAGTTAAGATTAAGACTAGCCCTAGGTACTTGCATCTTTTCAGGGCTGAATATATTTGGCTTCCAAATAATGATGGTCAGTTATGAACTTCATCTGCTCAAATAGTGACTCAATAATATGATGCCTCCTGGCATGACTGTACATTTTGTTCTTAGGATGGAGCAAGGGGTATTTACCATGCAAATCAGTGTCATTTAAGAAGCTCAAGACACTAGCCAAGACAGTAATGTAAGAATGAAACATATATGACAGTAATAATAATAACATGTGTTTAAGTGCGTAGCTTCTGTTCACAATGATAGTATGAGTTTGATGGCTTTTAATAGAAAATAGGGGAGGGAAAATTACATTCTTCAGCCTCTCTAAGTTATAGAAAGACACTTTTTTTTTTTACACATAACTTGTCTCTCTTCAAGAAAAGAACTATGAAAAGAGCTATTTGCATGCAAGGTTGTCTAGAAAATGAACAATTACCTTCTCTTTCTCTTTTTTAAAAAAAGATAATCGCCTATTTGCAGCCTATTAAAAGCAGAAAAGGACTGAAGATTTTTATTCAAACTAGATTACAACATTTTTTTTGACATTTCCTAGCCAGAAAATACAAAGAAGACTTTGACAGGGTCCTTCATGTACTTATTTCTGTCGTGTATTGTTGAGGGGGGGGAGCCTACCCGTTTTCATTAAGTGTTATTGTCAAAAGAGATTATAATCAAAGATCTGGATGTTTACCTGGAGTTTCCGGTATTCTGTGTCAAAAGTGATCACTGATACCTTACTATCCCATGTCTTTTCTGTTTGGTTGAGAGCCAAGAAGAAAAAAATAGCACTTAGAAAAATGAAGTGCGTTTGGAACTTTAAAAAGAAATGCAATCTACATATATTGTCAATCTCTAAGTGAATTTGCTTTTTATTTTTAATCAGCTTCTACTTTTCGTCACCTATGCCTTCTTTTGTAGGATCAGAATGAACGCAGTTACAGGATTGTGCGGACAGCCTCCAGGAACACTGACATCAAAGGCCTGAATCCCTTGACTTCCTATGTATTCCACGTGAGAGCCCGGACAGCAGCTGGCTATGGAGACTTCAGTGAGCCCTTTGAGGTCACGACTAACACAGGTGAGAGGAGCAAAGACCTGACCAGGAGCAGAATCCTTCTGAGACTTTTCTTTGGAGGGATAAAAATATTTAAAAACAAGAATCATAGCTGACATTTGTGAGATGCATTCAAGTCTGCAAAGTACTTTCCTCTACCTATGGAGTACAGATTAAGTCCTATTAATGACAATATGTTATACCTTGCTAAACTCACATTTATAAGCACTTTAAGGTCAGTAAAGAACCTTACAAGTATTATTTCATTTAATCATTAAACTGAACACCAAGTCACTCTCCAAAGACTTATCCAGGGATTTTGTCCTGTGGAATATTGCTTGAAATAAGTGAGCGTGACTTGAAAATCTTGTTATTCACAAATTCTGCATTAAAAGGATTTGTTTCCAGCCTTATAGTATTCCCTTTCAGCTATACCATACCTTATTTTGGCCATCTGGACTACTCACTGTCTTCTGTACTTCATTTTCTCCTAGAAATTCCTCATTCTGTTCCCAGCACTCTAAGAATGTTCTCCTGAAGCTGCCCTGCCTCTCCCTCACCCCCACCCAGCCCACCTTGAATTCTTATCTATCCTTTAAAGCCCAACACAGATGCCACCTCTTCCAAGAAGCCTTCTATGATCAGACAATAATTACCTAAACCTGCTGTGGTACTCATAAAACACTTTCCTTGTGCCTTTTTATGCATTTATGATGCATTATTTTATATTACAGTTATTTGTATATATGTCTTCTCTTCATACTATACCCTACCTTGCATTGGGGTGGGACCATAGATTAATCATGGATTTTCTTGATAGCTAGCAAGAGTTGGTCAGATGAAGTGAGAGTTCTTAAGAATAGGCACCCATGAAAGTGTTTATGGGCATCTAAGGAGTCCGTGGACAGGGAGGAATGGAAGGTAAGAGAGTGGTACAATGGTCCGGGGTGGATCTTCTCGGAAAGCTGGAAGAAGATAAGATCAAAGACACCTTTGGAGAGATTGTTTTTGTTGATTGGTGCCACTTACCCAGAGCTTACAAAAGAAGGAATGCCCAGGCAAATCTGGACTATGAAGTCAGAGGAAGAGGAGGTCCACCGATTAGGGCAGGGTTCTTTTAGGAAGTAGTATTCAAATTTCTTGTAGGCAGAGGGAGTATTTTGTCTTCTGAACCTAAGACCTTGACTTTGTTCCTTATAGATACTTGATGAATAGTTATTGAGTCCACTGGGATGTTGGCAAGTATGGAAGTCAACATTGAACATTCAATCACATGATCATAGATTTAGAGCTAAAGAGGTGCTCAGATTCCATCTAGTTCAATCCCAATCCCCTTGTTTTCCAGAGGAGGAAATTAAGGCCAAAGGAAGTTAAGGCTCAAGGTCACATAGGTAGTAGATGGCAGAGCCCAGATTTGAAGCTGGGTTCTCTGTCTCCAGAACCAGTCATATTTTCACTGATCACATGCAGCCTCCTTTGCTTTCAGCAAAAAAAAAAAAAAAAAAGTGGGCAGACATTCACTAGCTGACGACACAACCTTTTTGAGTTCAGATTTCCAGGTGGTAGGGGTCATTTCATCCAGGTGAAGAAAATTTTCAGGTGAGGAAATTAAATTCCAGAGGTGAAATGACTTGCTCAAAGTCATACAGGGACTGTCTTATTACAGATTCAGAGCAATAGTCTCCTCTACCACTTGGCCTCCTATTATGTCTTTCCCCTGAGGCATGAGTTGGAGTGAGCAACAGTTCTCAGCAAGCTGGAGTTCTTCTCTAGGCATTCTGGAAAGGTCTCTATCTCATTAAAGCTATCTGTAAGGAGGTGATGAGGGAATACTTAATGAGAGACCAAGAAGCTAGGACAGCTTCCCCATCCCTGGGCTAGGAGGAGGATTCTAAACAGAAAATTGAAGTGGAGAGAAAGGCCCTCTTAAAAGTCCCATTAGGGACCCCCTCACCCTCACTAAAGTTGAACCTGTCATGTCTTAGGGCAAACTGTCTTATTTTCTTTTTCTAGTGCCTTCCAGAATCATTGGAGATGGGACAAACTCCACGGTCCTCCTGGTGTCTGTTTCCGGCAGCGTGGTGCTTGTGGTCATTCTGATTGCAGCCTTTGTCATCAGCAGGAGGTAAGGATTTAAGTCTCAAGCTTGGGGCCCCTCCTCTTACTTTATAAGGGAAACTTTTGTTTCCTCCACACAAAGCTACATTCTTGGATTAGCATCATAAAAGGACATTTGCATTACAAGCTCCCTCCCTTGTCCCTTTGATCTTCAGTTGCTGGGGCCTCTGCCCTCCTAAGGCTATGGTCAGACTCCTAGCAGCCCTTCCTGAAAAACTACTATCAGCCACAATAAGAAATGCTTACCTTGCTTACATCTGAAGACTGATGCTATAGTTTATGCTGAATTTATTGAGTTGTATATATCACCTTCCATGATTCTATGTGACTAAAGGGAGGAAATTAAAAGCCAATCAATAATTAATCAAGAAACATTTATTAATAGCCTACTCTGTGCCAGGTACTATGCCAACCTATAAAATAAATAAATTAATAATAATAATAATAATAATAATAATAACAATAATAATAATAGCTGTTGTTTATATACAGCTCTTTAAAATTTGCAAAATTCATTGTTATCTTGTTTGAGACTTAGGACAACCCTGACAGGTACAGGTGATATTATCCCCATTTTACAGGTGTGGAATCTGCAGCTCAGAGAAGATAAAGTGACATATCTGCTTACACAGAATTTTAAGAAATATCATTTTAGAGAGTTTTGCTTAGTGAATATTATCTTGTCCCCATTGACTAGAGCAGTGGTATTTATTGAAAACGTTACTAAATGAGTGAATGACAGTATCAGAACAGTCTGCCAGGGGTTGGGTCAGAATTCCTTGTTGCCTGCATCTAGGTACATCCTATTTTTACTGAATTCTGTCACATTGACTTAATTGAGACATGTGATAATAATAGCAATGACTATTACTGAAATTTCTATAAGGCTTTAATATTTCCAAAGTACTTTACATACATTAAGTTACTGGCTGGAAGGGTAGCTACACGGCCAAGTGGATAGAGTACCACATTGCAAAGAATTGGACACAAAAACAACTGAACAAATTGGTTGTAAGTTGGGTTATTTAAGAAAGTTTTCTTTAGTCTATCTGCAAATATCTGCTTTAAGGATAATTCTCTTTCGTAAGGAGTATATAATAAGAAGTGCCTATAAAGCAGCCTGCCATAGTGTACCAAGCACTGGATTTAGGTATACCAAGGACCTGGATTCAAGTTTTGACTATGCTATTTACTAGTTTGTGACTTTGGGCAAGTCACTTAGCCAAATTTCTGCATCTGTAAAATGGGGATAAGCCCATCTACTTGATTAATAATTGTCTATTGATTGACTGATTATCATGAGTAAAGTGCCATATAAATATGAAAGATAATGATTCTATGTGAATCTTGATTCTGCTTTACTACCTGTGTGACTTTGCCCAAATTGTCCTGTCTGGATCACAGTTTTTTCATCTGTAAAATGAGGGATTTATGCTACATAACCTTGAAGGCTCCCATTGTCTTCTCTAGAGTTCTGTAAGCCTAGGATTAAAATCCCTACCAAAAAAGGAATGCTATTTCACTACAGACATTGATCAGTCCCTTAAAACATTTCCCTTAGAAGAGACATTCTGAACATGCCTCGTAAATGTTAGTTTACTGAGGCAGGGAATTTGGAAGCCTAGTTTATTTCTCATGGCATTTCTTTCTGAGAAGACTCAAGGTGACTCTGGCAGCTCAGATTTCAAGTGAAAACAAAGCATTATAATGTCTCAGTGTTGGATAAGAAAATAAAATCATGAAAAGTAAGTCTAACCTCTTACATTTTACAAGGGTTGAGTGACTGTCCCTTTTCAAAAGCAAATAGCGACTGGTATTATCTAACCCCTCTCTTAAGGTCATTCCAACTTCGCTCTAGATTTATTCTTTTTTTTTAACTTTTAAGTGGTCTTTAAAAAAGCAGTGAAATTTGTGCAATTATAAATAACACATCCTTCTTTGTAATAGTTTCTCTCTGAGGCTTAGCTTCTAGCTCAGGAGCTGTCCCAAAGAAAGGAAATCTAAACATATGAAAATGTAATGTAGAGAGACAGGTTTATTAAAAGCCATGGCTACAGAAAATAGCATCGTCAAGCTCGATGACTTAATTTCCTTTCCAGTTTTATTGATCACTTTATTATTTAAGACAGGATTGATAGCTGGATGCATCGGATTTCTAATTATGAGTCGCCACCTTGGAGGATTGAGCCTGCTGAGTTCCCAGAGATGATTCCTGTCCCATCTCCCTCGTAAAAGAAAAAAAAAATGTCACTTCCCAAGGCTGATAAACACTGCTTGGTGATTGGCCCTCAATGGATCACTTTTTAGAAAATGAAATGTCAACCCCTTGCCCTCATATTGATTCTTCTTTAGTATTGACCATAAAACTGTCAAAGGAAAGGCTGCCTGGAGCCAGGTAGTTGACAGGCTCACTTTGGCTACTGCATACTCAGCCGATTCTTCTCCTCACTCTGGCTGTCTATTTCTTTATCTCAGGCTGGTGGTGCTTAAATTGGACAAGAGCAGGTAAAGAGAAGACAGGTAACAAGCACAGAAGTCTAACCTAGGCTTTTAGGGAGAGTAAGAATGAAAGGGGTAAAGAGATGAGGAGACCTTTTGGAATCCTCCCCTTAGATGATAAGCCAGAGTTTGGCAGAGGCTCCTGGAAAGTAGCAGATGAAACAAAGCCAGGGAAATTAGAATGGCCTCCTCTGTGGATTGCCCCTATTCTTCTAAGTGTTCTGCTTCTTAGAAGTAGAATTTTAGAGCTGGAAGCCACTCTGGAGTCCAACCCTCTCATATTACACATGAGGACACTGAGGCTGAAGAGGGAAAGTTCCCAAGGTTACAGTCTAGTAAATGGCACAGCCAGAACTTGAATCCAGGTCCTCTTAACTCCAAATTCAGTGCTTGATCCACCATGGTAAACTGCCTTTTAGGCATATCTCCATATATAAGAAAAGATCTAATCTAAATCATACCTGAATGAGAATCCTCTTTACTACAGAATCGCCACCATCATTATCACCATCGTCAACAGCTGACACATTACCCTTTTGAAGCTTACAAAATACTATATGTCATTTAAGCCCCAATACAACTAACTCTATGAGGCCAGCTAGATGGCACACTGGATAAAGGTCCAAGCCTGAAGTCACAGAGACTCATCTTCCTGAGTTCAAACCCAGCCTCAGACACTATCTCCATGACCCTGGGCAAGCAACTTAACCCTGTTTGCCTCAGTTTCCTCATCTGTAAAATGAGCTGGAGAAGGAAATGGCAAACCACTTTATTATCTTTTCCAAGAAAACCCCAAATGGGGTCACAGAGTCATACACAACTGAAATGACTCAACAACAACAAAATAACTATGAAGTGGATACTACAAGTCTTTCATTTTGCAGATGATGAAAATGAGGATCAGATTTGTCTATATTCACACAGTTAAGAAGTGTCGTAAGATAGGATTTTGATCCAGGTCTCCCTGGCATTAAGTACACAGTGCACCAATCTTCCCTTTGACAGATGGATAGCCTGGCTTTTGCTTCCAAAAACTCTTACATGAGGGGGAAACCAACACTGCCCTGGGTAGCCTATTCCATTTTTTGACCTCTCTGATTTTAGGATATATTGTCCTTACATCCAGCCTAAATCCACATCTTTGCAACTGCCACCCTTGGCTTTTGGCTGTGTCTTATGGAATCAGAACAATTCCGATTGCTTTAAAATATACAGAAACAGACATGTCTCTCGAACAGCTATTATGTCCTCTATAAAGCTCCCCTTCTCCAGGCTAAACACCACCAGTTCCTTCAATCTGGTACTCAATTTGCATGATCTCTAGGCCCGTGGTATAGTAGAAACCCAAACTAGGGCTTAAGGAATGCTTGTGGATTGATTGGTGGGTTTACTGTTTACTGTATTGTATTTAGACTCAGAGGACCTAGGTCCAAATTTCAGTTCTGCTACTTACTTGACAAAGTCCCTTACTCTCTCTTAACTTCAGTTTCTTCATCTGTGAAATGGGAGAAACTGTAATACTAGAGCCCTTCTAGGGTTCCTTTTAGTTCTAAATCTATGATCAATGGCTACCTTATTCCTCCCTCTGGATGCTCGTTCTTAAGTTAACATATTAGCACATTTTTAGACTCATAGTAGGTACTTAATAAATGTTTAAAATTCATTTTGCAAAGTTAATGGCAGTAACAGGTGCCATACCATGTTTCCCAACTCCTAGTCGAATCTTGAATAGAATTCAAACCTAACAGTATAAGGTTTCAACAGTTGTGATAGCAGGCAAAGTTTTGGGGCATTTTGAGGCCGCTCTTTCAAAATCTCCAAATCTGGGCCTACTTTCCATATGAATTGAGGTACCAGTAAAATGTACAGCCAAGTCAGACTTCAAAAATCTGCCTCCTGCTTTTGTAGAAGGTTAAGTTCCTCCATTGAGGAAAAAAAACAACTCATGGGATACTGGCCTGTTTCCATTTAGCCAGCTTCTTTCCTGGGCACTCTGTTTGGCTCTTCTGGAATATTATGTTCACAGAAGAATGAATGGTGACTTAAATTGGCACTGATGAAGTCGTGTAAACTCATACAATGAAAGAGGGCAGATGGTGCCACCTGAACATTTCCACCCGGCTCCTTATCATTGTATTCCTATAGTCCAACCATTTCAAATTGTCCCTCGCAAAGAACAGTTAAGAAACAGTTGGTACAAGGGCCACAGAGGCTACCAAAAGGCAGAGGCAAGAAGGATGGCTTTTATGAATCCTCATCGACAATACCGAGGAAGCTTGAGAGTGTCCCCTAGGAGCCATTCTGGTTATTAGATTGCTTTACTTTTTAATCTGTACTCCAGCTGAATAAATTAGCTACCTTTTACTAATTAGTTTTGGAACAGTGGACTACATCAATCAAACCCTTCTCCTGGAGTACTGAAGTTAGTATCTTAATCAGATAAGGCCCAACTCTGAATTTGTCTATTTATTTTCCTTTTGTCTGGTTTGGGAATAGTCAAGGTACCAACTAGAACACATTGGTTGAGAAGGCTGTACTTAGGAGTCCATGCTGTTTCTGAACAAAGCTGGTTAAATACTCTTTTGTAAATATCCCTTAGCCTCTAAGAAGGTCTTCATCATTCTTTCTCTTAGGCTCACCTGTAGCTTTCTCCTTTCTTAGACTCCTGCAGTTTCTGAAAACTTCTGTGTGCCCTCTTTAGTCTCTCTTCTCCCTCCTCCCCCCTTTTAATCAGCACTATTCAAATCCCTATAATTACCAAATTCAAACTTCCCCCAAAGCTTTCCTTCTGTCATTCAGGTGAAGCAACCATCAGATCTTCTTAGGATTGGGTGTTTCCCAATGGCCCACTGACTGAATAATGAGCCTCCAAAGGGTTTTCTTTCCTGCACAATAACTGACCAGAGTGTTCCTCTACCTTGAACCAAAGAGAAAAGGTCAACAGGTGACAAAGCTGGAATTGAAAGCAGGGCATTTTTGTTTTTAAAGGTATTATTAAAAATTAATAAGCTACAATTAGTATTTGAACAATAATCCTTGTGTTTCTTTCTTTCTTCTTTTTTTTTTAAAACATGACCCTACCCTGTTTTTCCCTCTTCCAAAGTCAGACCTAAGGATGTTTTTAGTAATAAAAGTTTACCACTAACTCCAACCCACTTACATTAATTTCCCTGTCCGTATTTAAATATCCATCCCACTCATTTCATGAGGGAGTCAGATGCGGAACTACAAATTAAATAGTATCGTAATTTATTATTTTATTTTGCATTATATTTATTATGATATTTCAATTATTGTGTTGTGATTTCATTTCTCTTCTTGCCTTGCGTACATTGGGAAATGTGCTAGATTCAGGGATGGCACTAATACCATCCTTTAACTATTACTGCAGTTAAAGGACTGGCATTTCCTTACTAGACTTTGATTTTTGGAAGTAGAAAAGTGTAGTGTTACTTGACTAAGCTAATTTACAGAATGTCAAAATTAGGTACAAAAGCAATCCCTCTTGGATTTATTTATTTATTTATTCATCAATTAATTAATTAATTTAGTCTTTCTGATGGAAAGCAGCTTGAATCAGTGTTTTAGGTCTAGAGTGGGTTTAAAGATATCCTTGTAGTTTCAGGTAACGGTTTTGGGAGTTCCAATAACATAAAAATCACACAGGCACTCATGGTGATATGTGCCTCTCTATATGCAGCCACATGTTTGTTGACATCCACAATGGTTTGATTTGTACCTGCTCTAAATTCTATGTTTCAGAGTATATCAAGCTATTTAATGTCATTGATGAATCAATGGACTTTAAGAGCCTGTGAATCCAATTGCAGTGGTTTATGCTTAGAAAGGATAGCAATGTGATATTTGTAGAACATTAGTGTCAGAAGTAACCTTAGAGATTATCTGGCTTAAACATATCTCTTTTCAAATAAAGCCCAGAGAGTTGAAGCTGCTTATTTAAGGTCACACAGTAAGCTAGGAAGCTGAGAAAAATCAAAGACCGACTGGACTTGTCATCATGAGATTTAGATTCTGGTCCCAGCTCTATTATTATCTAGCTGATGGACCCTGGGCAATTTATTTCACCTTTCTAGTCATTAATTTCCTCATTAAAAAAATATTATAGGGATTTGTTTTCCCTAAAGATGGGTATAGTGTAGGCCTAGACATTCAAAGAGTTACTTTAAAAAAAAATGTAACACAGATATGTACACTGACATACCAGAGAGGACTTTGTGAGTTTATGACCCATACTCAATAAAATATGTAGGCCTATAGATTGAAAATTAGAGGGAATTCTGTTTAAATTATCCTAGAGTACTAGGTTTAGTCATTTGTATTTTCTTAGTCATAAATGATAATGTAGCCTACAATGTCCTTTCCCTCCCAACTGTGATGACTCCTCACATTTAGTACCCCCATAGCTAATTTATGGCCTGAGTATTTTGGAGAATCCTCTTATGAGCACTCACCAATGTGTTTTACTTTTTACCAGTCAACCAAGTGGCATTTTATTTTAACTAAATAACAAAGTAAATAAAGTAATTTTGTATATATTTTATAAACCTTGAGGTTAATCTCTCAAAAATACCTATTGATTCAGTGAATAATGAATATCCATGGGAATATATCCCCCACATGGAGAACATATGTGGCCAACATACACAGGGAGCACATGTGACCATTACACAAACATGGAGGAATAATTCATGCCTACAATGTAGTTAAGCTATAGATGTTTTCTATTGATGTACTTCAGCTGATGTACTCTCCTCAGAGCCATGTGCAATTCAATCTTTCCTCTACTGAAAATGCTGTGATTAGTGATCTTTTCCCTTGAAAGGATACATACCTTAGTTATCTTTTCCTTGGCCAGGCTGTATCAGAAGTACCAAGGCCTAAGTAGAAATCAGATCTGTCTTTTACATTTTTCTTAGAACTGTTCTATTAACTGTTTCTCTTTTTCTGAATTTTTTTTGTTGTTATTGAAATTAATTCTTTTTAAACTGAACTGATCTCTGCTATATTCTCAAGGAAACAAGTTCACCTATCACCTAACTTGTGGTCAGAAAACCATTTTACATTTTAGAATTTATCACATCCTTTGGATAAGGGTAAATATCCCCAGGACTCTACTTCCTCAAATAGAAAGAAAAGTGTTTACCTGACACTGTGGTAAGGAAAGCAGTTAACCTCACCCCAGTAGTCTCTTTATCATATGCAAAATAGCAGTAGCTTTTCTGGGAAAATAACTGAAAATCTATTGATCTCTATTTTCCAACCTGGTCTCCGTCTTTGATCTATGGTAACAGAACTCATAATAAATGAATGAAATAATAAAAAACAAACACTTAACTATGTTCTAGTTACTATGCCTAGTGCTGAGGTTACAAATACAAAAAAGACAATCTTTCCCCTTACTTGCTTACATCTGATACGGGAAGACAACTCATAGAAGGGAGTGTCCAGGGAGCAGTTTTTGGGCTTGGAAATTACAGAGATGTGAATGGAACTATAACAGAATGGATTGACATGTCCTTTCCAGAAATAGCAAGGTTGATTTGATTATTGTTCCTAGAGCTAAAGGGAAAGATACTCAGTGGCATGGCATGAACATTTCCACAGAGAAATAGAATGTTGGGTCTGGGTCCTAACTATAGAATGATAAAGCAAGAGTTTCCTGTTTTAGGTGTTAATGATATTATCACCTGTCTCCTATTTTAAGCTTCATTAGGTAAGAACTTGCTTGGTTCACACTATGCCTGTCTTTAGGCAAGGTATTGATTTCAAATTCTAATAGATTTGAATTTTTTTTTTAAATTTTATTTTGTTTGGTTCTTTTTCCCCAACAGACGGAGTAAATACAGTAAGGCAAAGCAGGAAGCAGATGAAGAGAAACATTTGAATCAAGGTAAAAAAAAAAGAAATCTTCAAGGTTGAGTTTTTTGATCTCTTCTGGGATGCTCATATCATGTCCTTATGTTTAGGAAATGTAAATGGTCTTCATCTGGAGAGACCTATTTTGTGTTTTCCTTTCATGCAACCACTCAAAGTAATTCACTTCAAGTGAATCAAATCATAATAACTGCATGAGATTTCTATTTTTTTCTTTTTTTCTTTTTTTCTTTTCTTAGGAATAAAGGGTTTGGAGAGCAGGAAATTCCTTAAACCTCTCTAGATTTTTTTTTTCCTATTTTTGCTTTCCAGCCTGAAAGGGTATTATCCTTGTTGACTCTTCTTTTCAGCTGGGTGGCAATGACATTATTACTTCATTCATATAGGTGCTCTCTTGAGTGAGGCAGATCACAACTCCTTCAAGCTTCAGCTGGGGGATTATCTCTGAACAACAACACCACCACCAACAACAAAAAAAGCATCACCTGATGGTGAACTTTCTGGAGACCAGCTTCTCCAAACTTCTGAAAGCTGGTACTCAGGCACATAGTCTGTCTCAAGCTATGCATGATAGCTTTCAGTCTTAATAGGGCTTTCCATAGCTTAGGGTCCACTGGTGTAACCTTCAAGAATTAAAGTCACCTCCCTGCCACAATGAGACAATTGATATGCAATTTAAAGAGGAAGACATTGTCACCATCGATTCATTTTTGTGAGACATTGGTTGTAAAAACCATCAATGGGATATAGCACAAAGGTCTTTAATAAAGTCCTTACCCCATCCCTCACTTGGCATGGATAGGACTCTGGGTTCTCATGGGTTATTTCAATGGGGCATTTGAATAGGTCCTATCAACCTGGAAAGGCTTTGAGTATGGGGCTTGGTATGAAGCACAATACATGTCTATTTTCAGAGAACCAATCTAGCTCATTTCAGAGAGGCTCACTACCCAGTTGGCTGTAGGGCAATGACTTCTCCTCCTCCTCCTCCTTCTCCTTCTCCTTCTTCTCCTCCTTCTTCTTCTTCTCCTCCTTCTCCTCCTCCTCCTCCTCCTCCTCCTCCTCCTCCTCCTCCTCCTCCAGACCAGATCTTAAAAATGATCTACTTAGTTATAGTGGGATTGTGAGCTCAGATGGTGAATGTCCCACAGCCAATGACATGATAGATTCATGAAGTATACTCCTATTTGAAGATGTAAGACAAAAATGATAACTTTTCCAAGGAAGAATGGTGTTGGGATGATATAGGAGTCTGGAATTTTCAGAGTTTATGAAATAATTTCCTGAAATATTTCATCTAAATGTAAATCATTTCATAGTCTTGAGTGAATGGTCAACTCAGTAATATAAGGTTGTCTCAAACATGGAGAACTGAGGGAAACACATACTTAAATTACCCCGTATATTTTAACATGGGAACTGGGCCAGGTGTAGTGGCCATGGGGTCTCTGGCGAGTGGGCAGAGCCTCAGGGAAAGGGATGGGGTAACAAGAGGTCAATGAGGGCTCATAGGCTGGTAGCAGCATCTTAGGAAATTATTTCTGTAATGGCTACTCAATCTTCTCTCTTCCTCTTTTCTCTTATCCCTATCAATCATTCCATCAAAATTCTTACCCAGGGGGTTAACTGAGAATTCTGAACAGGGTGGTGTCTAATAACATAGAATTAGGATTGCAGGTACAAGAGAGTAGAGGAGGAAGAGAAATCTCAAACAACCAGGAAGGAAGAGAAGTTTCTGTGGCTAAATGGCCATCCTGTTGGGTGAGTCATTTCTAGATGACCATTTCTATGTCAGAAACCTATGTTAATTGAGAACCATCTTTCAATCACCTAAACTATTAGCAAGTGAAAAAAAAACTCTCCATAAAAGCTCTCCTTTCTTCCATTTGAAAGATTTTCTGTAAATTTTGTTCTCTTCATTCCTGTGTTCCAAAAAGGTAGTCAAATTTCAGTCTTCAACACAAAAGCCCTCCTTTTGGAAATAACAAATTTTTATCTCTAACTAGAAAAGAACAGGATAGAAATCTAAACCTTTGTTTAGTGTTCATTGCTCAACGGACTTCAGTTCTTAATTCATATTTTACTTACGTCTAGACAATGATATTAGCCATGTATTCCCTTTCTTGCTTAAAAAATACCAAAACTTTTCTGATTGGCATGGTCAAAACCTTAAACCAAGCTGTCATATTTTTGCCTTTTAGGTGTAAGAACCTATGTTGACCCTTTTACATATGAAGATCCCAACCAAGCAGTTCGAGAGTTTGCCAAAGAAATTGATGCATCCTGCATTAAGATTGAAAAAGTCATAGGTGTGGGTACGTATTGGAACTTTTTAACACTCTTATTCTGATAGGGAGGTTTTGGGTTTTGAAACAAATGTATATCTATACACACATATATATAGACATACATACATATATATGTATACACACACACACGTATATACACACACATACATATATATGCATTCCCTGAATAAGGTTAGTCTTGTTTGAAAAACAAAATTAGGTATACAATGGGGAGTTGTGGCAGAAAATTTGTTTGGGGGTAGGAGAGGTAATGCGATCACAAATGAATCCGTAGATCAAAGTGGATACTTTTTTTTTCTTCCAAAGGTGAATTTGGTGAAGTGTGCAGTGGGCGTCTCAAAGTACCTGGGAAGAGAGAGATCTGTGTGGCTATTAAGACTCTTAAAGCTGGGTATACAGACAAGCAGAGGAGGGATTTCCTGAGTGAGGCCAGCATCATGGGACAGTTTGACCACCCAAACATCATCCACTTAGAAGGTGTAGTCACCAAATGTAAGTAGGTCACTCCTTTTCCAGGCCAATGTGGGAATCACTGGGAAATTAAATCCACATTTTCTTTCTAGGAAAATGACAGATGGAGCAGATCCACTGATTGCTAATAGGAGGAAATCAGTGCAGGACAAGTCATTAATCTTGTAGTCAGCTCTAAATGGGTTTATGGTTTCGTCTGATACCCTACCTCAAGGCAGCTTGTGTGTGTGTGATTTTCAAGAAATTAATACTGCAACTTTTTTTGTATGCCATGACATTGTTCAAATATCTGCTAGGCCACAGTGATTGTCACAGGACAGGCAAGAGCAGATGGTGAGCCAAATAGATTTATACGCTTTTTACATAAATACAACAAAATCTTACTCACACCTTGTGCTGGAAGTTCTAAATCCAGATGCAGCAGGTTGAGTTGAAGGAATCTTTATTATATTTAGAGACTTGTCTGCTCTTTCTGATTTATGGACACCAAAGCTCAGCTCCCATTCCCAGTAACACCTGGTTGAACCTTGCTTTCTTAGTCCATTAACATTCACTGAGCCTGTGAACTACGCTTCAGTTAAAATATGACAGAGCTCAGCAGATGCAGTTTCCAAGCCAAAGCCTAAATGCATCTGTAAGGCTGGCTCAGCCCAGCTTATAAAGTGGCATGAAGACGGTATAGTTGAAGCAGTTACTGTTTGGAATGGCCCTATTCCAAGGGCAGTGTGCAGTGAATGTGCCCTCATGTTACTCTTACAATGAGTTGAGGATCAGAGTGAACTCAGAAGTATGTTTTCAGTGAAGCCAGTATTTGTCTTTGTGAGGGAGGCACTGTGGTCTAGCGGCGGGGGATGGGGGAAGCACTGAATTTGGAATGGTGGGACCTTGGTTCAAACCCTTGCTCTGCCACTTTGCGTGACTTTACTTTGCTCAAGTCACTTCACTTCTCTGGTCCTCAGTTTCCTCATCTGTAAAATGAAAGGGCTAGAACAAAATGACCTCTAAAGTCTGTTCCAGTGCTGAATCTACAATTCTAAAATGGATTTTATATAAGATGGGAAAAAATGACCGCTGTATAAGATAATGGAATTACCATAGTTGATAGAAATGAAAAAGATTATGAAAATAGAACTGATGAGATATACAGAATGTTTTGTTGGAGGCTGAGGGCGGGGAAATATGCTTTAAGATGTAAAAATGAGAAGACATGTTATTACTACTTCTCAAAGGCATCTTAAGAGCTACCTGCTTCTTTCCCTTCTCCCAAATGAAATCCTTGAAAAACAGCAATAGAGGTAACTGGAATGGCTGATATCTATCAAGATCTCAATCTATAAAGATCTACACAGATCTAGAGTCTTTCCATAAAGCTAATCTTAAAAGATCAAGTGAGATGGGTTGTGTTAATTAAATTTTCTGTTGTAGGAAAATGTGCTCTATTTTTATCATTATTATATGCCAGGGATATTTTTAAATGATAGAAAAGGTTATCAAATACCTTTATATATAAAATATAACATAATATGACATTTTTTATGGTTGAGAATGCAATTAGCATTGAATATCTCACTTTACTTCTTAAGAGCAGTTTTCCAGAAAGGATATTTTTCTGTGGCCTACAGGGCTGCTCTGAGCCCCTCAGTCCTTTAATTAAAAGATAACATTCTGTTTAAATACTTCTGCAGGTCCCATTCTGTAAAAAGGAGTCTCTGTTTGGCTTGGGGTGTTTTTTTTTTTGTCATAGACAGTGAATTTCATAGCACCTCAGTAAAAGAGAGAGGTAACAGGGGATCTTTGTATTAAAATCCCACTGTGCCTCTAAAACCCATAGCTATTACAGCTGTAACTGTTATAAATGACTAGATGCATTTGCATAATGCACTTGTCACTGAATTAAAATGATTTAAAATTTCCACCAAATGAGGTAGTGGTTGGGGTGTGTGGTAGTTGGGAGGCTGAGGAGGGTAAATGGGATAGGCCTCCTCTCCTCCCCCTATTGGATTTCTGTCTGTCTAGTTTTTGATGAAGGAGTACACTGTAAGCCCAACCGGGCTATCTTATAACCTTACTCTTTTGTTAGCATTGCTTCTTATAGAAATACATTTGTCTTTATTTTTCTTACAGAGCTTGTAAAGGAGGTAGAGAATGCATGTCTTTAATAAACAAAAATAAAATCTAGCCCCCAAAATATATATGAGGGAGGTACCACGGGAGTTGGGCTGGCAGAGTGGGAAGGTGTGGAAGTGGGAAGAAAGAGTGTGACTCCATTACCAGATGCTAGCTGAGTAACTTTTATTATTGATGGTAGGATCGTAAATTCCCTTTGCTACTCCCTCTATCCTGCCTATTTCTTTTTCCGTCTTTTCCCTACCACTCAAGCAGTATCTGAGTAATGGAATTATGTGTTAATGCACCGAAAGAAGGGTCCCCATCCTTGTTGGCTGACAAAGTATCTTTTGATGGAGGCAGGTTAATCAAAACTCATTTAGATGTATCTGTCCTGTCATAAGACCATGGTCAAGGATGCAAGGGGTAAAGGAAACTGGGAAATATGCAGTTTGGGTTAGAGGTTCTCATTTATACTGAGGAGGCACAGAAAGGTAGACTTTCCACCGTAATGCAGTGAAGTGAGAGAGAAGGGAAGGATAATATATTTACTCATCTCTTTGCTGGGCTCCAAGATTCTTCCTCTTTCCTGCCTTTTATAATTTCTCACATTATAACATCCATAGTCTTATTTTCTAATCCAAAAATTTCACTTCAGAAATTAAGAGCCCATTCTGGAAATTGCAAGCAGAGTGGGACTTTGGAATGAACAGAAATTTATTGGTGCAGAATAATTACAGGAGCTTTTCAATGTTGAAATATTCCAGAGCTATTCTCCCTGACTGATTGTCTAAATGGATACTGATGGTAAATGCAGCAGGCAAATTGTGAACATTTTTGATCTATCAAGGTAGCATTTTACTCTCTTCTAGGGCATCTTTAGTGACCCCATGCTTTTTCCCCTTTCCCCCAGCCAAAAAAATAGGGAGAAGGAAATCTCCTCCTCCAAAAAAAATATATCTCGATGAAAATTACTTGTGACAATGCATATTTAAAATCAAATGCAGCTTTCCTAGAGATTTAAAATTATGAGCCCTTTGCTAGAGCTGGGGAGGGCTAATAACAAGCATAACTTTCTCCAAAACCTTCTTTGCAAAAGAAAAGAAAAGGAAAACAAACAAGCAAAGTCTATGTTGTTTCCTCCATCCTACTTAGGAAGAATGGGTTATCTCTGCTGCACTCATCACAATGAAATGAAGTGTTAATGTCGCATTCAACTCTCTTCTGGATAAAACAATTGATTAAGTCTCTTCTCTGGTGGTACTTTTTTTTAAACAGAAGGATAGAATTTCTTTATAGATGTAAGAAGAAAAAGGAAAAAAAAGAGGAATGTACAGGGCATGATATAAGAAACGTGAAGGAAAAGTTTAAATTATACATGCTAAAGGTTCAAGATATTTCTGAAGTAAGAAGGGAAAAAAGTCTCCTCCTCCATTGACTCTTTAGTGTCACACAAGGCTCTTACAGGGGTAGGGGACCGGGGAGTGGATTTAATTATCCTAAAATTTTTTTCACATTTTAACAGTTCTGCGCCTTTATCTTTCCCCACCCCCACCCCTCCAACTTGAATGAGCAATTATCCATTCATATGGTCCCTGGATACCAGAGGCCACTTTAAAGACCTTGTCAACAAGTCACCCAAAGGGTTAACCTTCCAGATGGAGATTAAACCTACTCGTCCTTTTAATATTTCATTCTCAGCTCCCCACAGCTGAGGCATAAGCTTGGCTTGTTTTAATTAAATTAGATCACATAAGACAGGTGTCTTGGCAGTAAAATTGTGCATAGCCCATTTTTATCTCATTAACGGCAGTGTTCATCAAGGAATTATGTTTTTCTTTCTGAAAACTCTAGGTAAACCTGTAATGATCATAACCGAGTACATGGAGAATGGCTCCTTGGATGCATTCCTTAGGGTATGTGACTATTTGATAATCCATTCAAGATTGTTTGCACTTGGTAAATGAACTCACCCCCCATTCTAGGTATGACTTATGTTTGACTCTCTTTATTGACTTTGTGTGGGTGGGGACAGGAGAAGAAAGGAAATACAGGATCGATGATTTTTAAAACAGCCTATTAAATAATCCATGATTAGTCAGTTCTCTGCTTGATTTATCCCCTTTCAGCGGTCCTGGCAGTGCCACAGATTCATTATAATTGGATAAATTCCATCTATCACAGGAAGCACATACCTAGATTATAAGACATGTTCACCTAGTGAATTAGTGTCTTTGGTCAGAAAGGCAAAGAAATAATGTGGTGTTTGTTGTGTTTTGTGGTAGATGAGGATTATCAAAAATAGTTTGGTAATACTTGGCAATAATTCATTTTGGTATAGTGCTAATGAAATCTTCCCCATTTCCTCCCTCTCCCCCCTCCCCTTTCTGGGCAGAAGAATGATGGAAGATTTACAGTGATTCAGTTGGTTGGGATGCTTCGTGGCATTGGTTCTGGGATGAAATACCTCTCTGATATGAGCTATGTACATAGAGATCTAGCTGCCCGGAACATCTTGGTCAATAGTAACTTGGTTTGCAAAGTATCTGACTTTGGCATGTCTCGTGTTCTTGAAGATGATCCTGAAGCAGCTTACACAACCAGAGTAAGTCTTGTGCCATTGGTTTTCTGTTCTGAAAATTTGATGATGAAAACTTTGACCTCCAAAAACCCATCATCCTTTAGAGTGTCAGGAAAATTAATAATTGATCTTTAAGAAAGTCCTGCATTCTCTGGACTTTTCTCTAAATAGTTACTCTATTTTTTAAAGTATCATTCTCAGAAAGGATTTTGCCTCAAAGAAAAAGATCCCAGATGTTAACATATCACTAGACCTACTAAGTAAGCAAAATAGACTCTATCCCCATTTTTTTTTTTGGATGAGGAGTAATCTTAATTAAATTAATTAACAAATTAACTTAAAAAGAACAGCAACTAGAGAAGGAAGAAAAGAAGAGAAGGAAAGACATGGTATGGCACAGCCAGATTTAAAGTCAGAGAACCCAGATTTGGGTCTTTGTGCTAGTACTTATTTCTTGTGTGGCCTTGGACAAATCATTTAACCTTTCTAAACCTCAGTTTCCTCATTTGTAAAATAAAGGAATTGTGTTAGTCAACCTCCCAATTCTCACGCAGCTCTAAATCTATGATACTTTGGTAATATTTTCACCATGTTGTTCCTTTCTGATCTTTTAAAGTCTTCATATTTTGAGAAATCCTTCCCCTCCAAATTTTTTTCCACTTAGTTATTTAGGAAATGTGAAATGTATAGAATATGGATTTATAAAATGTTTTCACATGAGGATTTTTTTCCCAGTTGCTAATGGTCTGCATTTTACTGTTGAAAGATAAGCCAGGATTTGAGTACAGTTAAGAGTTATCAGTTGGCACTTAATGAGTCTGCTGTCCTGCCTTAGCAATTTGAGTATAAAATACTAATGGAATAAACACAGCAGCTCATAAAACAATTTACTGACCATTAAGACCAGCACCATTAAAATTAACATAAAGCAGAAAGTTTCCAGCCTTCTTTCCCCCACCCTCTTTAAATATTTGCCATTTTCCATCTGTGCCTGGAGCCTGATTTCAATATTCAGTCTCTCAGGCTGTAATTGCTCATTCTAATCTGTACCCTCTTGCAACTAGAGTTCATTCACTTAGGAAAGGAATGATCTGTGTTAAACAGTGAAGGGCTGTCCTTTTCCTCTAATAATGTGAAGGTGAGAAGTTACAGCAAACATTATAGGAGGCAAAGGCAGAAGACAATGTGGTAGTTCCTCTATGAAGACAGAGAATTTTAGTGTTAGATGATCTTGTTCATAGGAAGCTTCAGAGAAACAATGCCATTTGCTGCCCACTCTCTAGTCTTGTTTTAGTATCCATAATAAAGGCAAGGAAACTTTTGGATTCTTTCCATTGAGCAGCTTAAAATGGGACTACTTGAGTTTGAATCAGTTCCCCCAGATGGTACCCCTAGCAAAGTTTAAAGTCAATTAAAAACACCTTGTACATTAACATAAACAAACAGAGAAATTCTTGGCATGGGATGACTGTGGTAAAAGAGAATCAGATAACTGGTTAGAATGTCCCCTAAACTCTAACAGATGGTTCTCTATCTTGGTTTGAAGAGCTGTCTTTTTAAAAACTTCAATAAGAAATCACACCTTCCTACCCCTCTCCCACATTGGACAGCTCATAGAAGAAATGAATTAATATACTACTATATCTAGTTTCTTCTCTTTTGTCTCTGAGAGCCTACTTAGCACTTCTCCCCGCTACTTTGAACATGCCTTTTGTGTTCAGTAAGGGGCAGGATGATGGTAGGAGAAGAAAAGAGACAGTATTTCATACCCTGTTCTCAATTTAGTCTCGATTTCATGATTTCTGAAGCAATCTTTAAAGCAGGGACCTTTATGCTGCCCAATTAGTATGAATCTAGGAAATAAGGCAAGAAAAGAGCCCAGTCTCCTAGAACCACATGCACTTCTACATTTTATCTTTTGTGGATAACATATGCATCTTGCCTTTGGTAATGACCACCACCACCAAAACTACCCTGATATGGTATTAAACTGGGGTCAGATAGTAGGTTGGTTTAAGAAAAGCACATTAAACAATTTAATGATCCATATCTCTGTGACTAAAGGAAACATATGGGTGAAATTGCTTCTCTCAACGTTGAAAACTTAGATGAAACAAGTAAGGCTATCTTACTTTCTGGAATTATTTTGGGAGCTGTCCCAAGCACTCTACTGTCATCTTCGAAAACAGTGATGTCATTCAGAAATTGCAGAGTCAGTGTTGTGCTTAGGAAATAACTTATAGTTCAATGTTTATAGGGTGGCAAGATTCCCATCCGGTGGACTGCACCAGAAGCAATTGCTTATCGTAAATTCACATCTGCGAGTGATGTGTGGAGCTATGGAATTGTGATGTGGGAAGTGATGTCTTATGGAGAGCGGCCCTACTGGGATATGTCCAACCAGGATGTGAGTTCTCTGTGCTGAAACAAATGGGTTTGGATTAAGATTCTAAGTGTTGTGGGATGAAGGAGGAGGTGGGGGGAGGGTGTGGAATGATGGTGGTGGGGAAGTGTAGAATAGTGTTCAGAGAAACAATAAATCCTATCAATCTAATGTATTGTTATGATCATCCAATCCAACAAGAATTATTAAGCACCTACTACATGCACATTACTGATGATTAAGAGGGGAAAAAAAAGACCAACCAAAAGAAAATCGTTCCCTGCCTCCAGGGAACTTAAATTCTTCTACACTTACTATTATAGATATAGGAAATAAAATTGCATCAACTCCATCAGCAAGCTCTTTCACTTGATAAGCTTTCAGAACTAATTCTTTTGTGGGGATGGGGAGGTTTGGGGAAAGGAAAATTAAATATACCCAAATATGAAGTGAATGTCAATTCCTCACATACATTTCCCAAAAAGTTAGGGTTAGTGGGAAAAAAGGGGTTAATATTTTAACTCTGGTGAAGTTGTAATTAGAACTTGCACCAGTATCTCAATAACAGAAGAGCTGCCCCTTGAGAACACTAAAAAATAGCTTCATTAAATGACCCTTTGTAAATTATGCACATCCCTTTAACTGTGCCATCTGGACTTTCAGTCCATTTCATAAGGGAGTGTACACACATAGTGCCTGCAATTTCAGGAAAAGCACTCAATAATGACACTAATAAGATTCTGTGGGGAGAGAACTTGGTGGTAAACATCTCAGGTGAAAAAGACCAAAAAACAACAACAACCTGGGCTCAATTGCTTTCCTAGGAGATTGATTGAAAGATATTAAAAAAAAATAAGCCTAGAATTTGAACTCAGCTGTTTGTGGAAAGGAATAGTAATAACAATAATAATAATTCCCATTCCTATAATGCTTTGAAGTTAACAGAGTGCTTTCCTCACACCCATCCTATGGAGTGGGTAGTACAAGTATTTATTAGCCCATTATACAAATGTGTAAACAGGCCGAGAGATACAAAGTGTCAGTCAAGAAGGCTACTGACAAGTGGATCCCAATAAAATGATTGTAGAAAGTTATTGTTATTCTGTGAATATGTGTAACCTCTTATTGTATAAATGTTAGACTCTTGGCAAGAAGTTAGATCTTGCTGATATTTTAACCTACCCCTTCATAAAAGAAGATATTCTGTATTATCAGATGTAGTCTTTGTATTGCGTGTTTTTGCTTATTTGGTTTTCTTTGTTACAAGAGAGGGTTCAATCTGGAGTGGAGACAAGAGTCTTTTCTACCCCCATGATTGTGATATAGTGACAAATGGCATAAAAAATGTATTTTCAATTAAAAAAATTAAAATACATCCTTTTCAATTTCTTTCTCATGCTCTCTAAGACTCCCTTGCCCTCCTGAATCAACAGGAGGTCACCAGGACTTAACAATTAATCTGAAAACCAGATGTGCTTAAGAAATTTGATGTGTTTGATTTTTCATCAGTGAAAGATTGCTTTGAATCAAGAGGGTAGTTAATACATTTCTTGTTTCGTGGGTCAAAAAAGATCCCTGAATCTGAATAACTAGATTAAATGGGGTAGTTAATGTTGACATGGTATTATCTGTAAATTGCAAAGGGAAGAAAGGCAGCAGTTAGCATAGCTGATGGATAATTACAGCCTTGAAAAGACTGTGTAGTGGTGACGGGTAGCATAACATATCGTTTGGTACAATTATTCTATGCAAAGAGCATAAAGTGGCTTCCTGCAGTATTAGGATTCAGGTTGGAAGCTCAGAGACAGCCAAAGGTAAACCATCCAACCCAAGGGCAGCTCATGCATTTGTATATTTATTTTGATTTTTTTGAGCTTTCTTCAGTTTCATCTGAGTCTCAGAGTATCGTTCCCATAAGAGCAGAGCCTTTAAAAATATTTCCAGATGTCTGTCGTCCTGCTGTGTCTATTTTCAAACCTGTAGCTTTGACAAAGGCCTTTAGCTATTTAGCTAATTCTTTCCAATTTAAAGTTTTGGTTAAGGCCTGATTTGTCTCATTTTGGGACCTGTCTATTTTGTATCATTTTGAATATGCTTTTCATTGTTTTAAGCCTTTTTACATTTTTTAAATTATATAGAGGAAACAGCAGGTTTCTAATAGACTCAGATTATCATCTTTATAGTATTAGCTGGACATCTACATGTGTGTGGCTTTAGGCCAGACAATGTATAAAACAAGTATGAATTCTTGTAATTGTGAATCAGACAGCACAGATATGGACAGATTTCGACCTCAGGAAATACAACTGAAGAATGGCCTCCACGATGAAGAATTATTGGCACTTTGGCACAATGAGAAAAAGAAATTGATGTAAATCTTCTTCACATTATCAAGATTTCTGATTCTGTGCTACATGACATACTCATCAATAAACTAAGAAAGTGTGCTCCAGGAGACATGAGTAGTTTTCCAACTGGCTCCAGGGTTAACGTCAGTTTGACATAACAGATGGTGGTAGGCAGCCATCGGTCCCAAACCCCCCCAACAGTGTTCTATACTTTTTTATTAGTTGAATGTAGAACCTTCTCTTGAAATGTGGAGTTGAGTCATGACCTAAAGCATGGCTGGTAGCTGGAAGAATGTAACTAGAATTCAAAAGTATTAAAAGAGCACATTCCAATCCAACGATCATTTCTTAAATGCTACTGTATGTTAGGCACTGTGGGTAAAAAGACAAAAGAAAACCAGTATTTTCCCTTAAGAAGATACGTTCTATATTACTGTCCTTCCTCACCTCTCAATATGATATACTACTGAAGTTTAGATTGTGCATTTTTTTCCTCTCCCTTCCCCAAGCCCAGCTCACCTTGATCCACAGTTGCTAACACTCCTACTAATTTTGTGTCTGTCTTCCAACAGAAAGAATCTTTACTCTTCCTTTCTCACTTCCTTGTCTTTAATGGGAATTTAGTTCTTAAGCTGATGGGAATAGTCAATAAGGTTCAACAAGTAGAACTATAGGGAAAGATATAAGAGGAGGAAAAACAAAAACTACGAATTCAGGCTTGGCTATTCATAGTTTTGGAATAAAAAGCTCTTGGTCATAATGAACAGTGAACTGATTTGGAGGCAGTGGTAAACACAGCCCTAGAGTTAAACTATCATTGGTTGGCATGACCTACACCTACTCGTATCACAAAGTAGAAATGACCCTTTCTTACAATAGGGTTACTTTGCTGAGTAATCAGCATTATGGTCACCATGATAGCTGCAGCATAAACTCTATGGCAGCTCCTTAGAATGTTCGACTGTTAGATATTGCCAGGACTGAAGGAACTAGACGATAGTTTGTTATTAGCTTACAGATATACGATGCATAAATTTGGGGTCATTCTTTCTTTCTCACTCAGCACTGGCCACAACCCAACGGAGGGCTTTGTCTGTGTCTGGGTTCCATACTTAGAAAGTAAGATATTGGGAATGTGGAGAGGATTCAGAAATGAACCATGAAGATGGTTAAATGGTTGAAAACCAGTGCCTATGAGAACAAGTTAAAATAATTAGGATTGGGAAACTGGAAAAGTGATGGCTGAATTCTGACAATAATAGCATAAAAAGAGCTTTTAAATAGCTCATCAGCAGATTCATTAAATGAGAAAAGGCCCCCCTTCTTACAGAGTATGATTTGAGGAGGCAGGAATAAGGGCTTTCTCCTTTAAAATAATCAGCTCTCTAACTGATCATTCCATCTTTCTTTCCATTTTAAAAGTCACAGGATGATTGAATGAGAATTGAAAGGGCCCTTATAAGTCATCTGGTACAACGTTCTCATTTTATAGATGAGAAAATTGAGATCCAGAGAAGGGATTTTCTTAAGGTCAGAACTGAGATTTGAACCTGGGCCTCTGTCTCCCAATCTAGCATTTTTTTTCCCTTTCCTCCCCCCAGAAGGTCTTTGAGAATCTTTTTAAAAAATATAAATATCCCTTTCTGAGATTTGTAAATCCCTTCAGTGGCTGATGGTGGACAGGCAGCTGAGAGCAGAAATGAGTCATGAGCTAGGCACCTGGAAGGCTCCAGGGATGCTGAATGAAAGAGGAGGGGTCCTGGAGGAAGGAGGCAGATGCCAAAGACAAACTGCACTTCCATCACTGTTTTGCTGGCCTGTCTGTTGCTGGTGATCATCCAGGTCCTTTTTTTAATCTCTACTCTGGCGGAATAGGAGGAAATGGGCTTAAGTTGAAACATGGGGAATTTGGGTCTTAGTGAGAGTTATTACACATTGGAACTGCTTTTTGAGGGAGGTCCTTAAAAAGAAATTAGAGTTCATTTCTCCACTCTAGGAATGTTTAAGTGTGATTATGTCGGACATCTATAGGGGTAGCAAGATAGACTAGATAATATCTTGAGTTCCTTCTGACACCCTCTATTTCTTTGATAATGCTGTTATTCAGTCCTTTCGGTCATGTCTGACTCTTCATGACCCCATTTGGGGTTTTCTTGGCAGAGACACTGGAGTGGTTTGCCATTTCCTTTTCCGGGTCATTTTACAGATGAGGAAACTGAAATAAACAGGGTTAAGTGACTTGGGCAGGGTCACACAGCTAGTGAGTGTCAGGCCAGATTTAATCTGAGGGAGATGAGGCTTCTTGACTCCAAGCCCAGCACTCTATACACTGTGCAACCAACCTTCCCTCCCTCTATTTCTACCTTTCTTTAAAAAAAATGGTAAATTTCTATGTGCTCTTGCTTCAGGTATTCAGATAGGTTATGCTTGCCAGTTGGGAACATCCCATGACACTTACCAATCTTCCTTTTCTGTGCTCTGAGATACTAGGGCCAGATTTAGCCATTGTGAAAGAGATGGAACTGGGAGCTGCTCCCTAGCCTAAAGGCAAGTCAGGCACAGGAATAAGAGCAGGTTCAGGATAGGAAGCCCGTATGACAACTTGTCTGGCAGCCTATGACTTTCTTTGTATTATCACGCACAGGTTATAAAAGCCATTGAGGAAGGCTACCGGCTACCTCCACCGATGGACTGCCCTATTGCTCTCCACCAGTTGATGCTAGATTGCTGGCAGAAGGAAAGAAGCGACAGGCCTAAATTTGGACAGATTGTCAACATGTTGGACAAACTCATCCGCAACCCCAACAGCTTGAAGAGGACGGGTACCGAGAGCTCCAGGTCAGCAGTGCTTACGTAATGGTGATAGATGAGGGAACCTATGGAAGGTGACAGACATGCAGTAACTCATCCTACTTGGATTCTCTTCTCATATTAGAGGATGCTCCATGGCTCTCCCCAATATGGGCAGCCTTTCTCTTCAATGGGGGATTGTTTTCGAGAAATGCTTCTGCTGACTTTCCTTGTCAATGCTGAAAAGCTCAATACCTGGCAGGCCAAAAGGAATAATAATGATTTTTTTTTTAAATCAATGAAACCATTACCTAAATCTAGTTAGTCTTGAAAAATTTAGGAAAAAGGGACATCCCATGTAGTTTTGAAAGGTGTTCCATGCCAAGTAAAGATACCAAGTTCCTGAGAAGAGACAAATAAGAAATAACTTGGAGGCAGTGTAGAAGAGGTGGAGAAAAAATGAGTTAGAAACTAAAAGTTCATCACTGTTTACAGAAAGTTGAGGCTGATCTTGGATTTGCAAGCGAAAAATCCAACGTGAGAAACTGTTCTCCTGATTCCTATATAACAGACACTGAAATGTTAATCTGAAAAAAGTTACTCTATATCCCAAGACAGATGAGCAATTCTAGCCTCCTAGTACTTACTATCTGGCTTCCAAAATGGATGGACATTGAGCTAATGTAGTGGGAAAAGACCACACTCTGAAGCTTACAGAATCTAGTTAAATATATAAAATAATCATACCGCCCATGAATAAGTCATTTTGGGGGGAGGATGAAAGGTGAGGATGAGGGGAGCAAGATAAAGAAATTATTGGTGAAGAAAATGGGCAAACAGTAGGCCCTGAAAGCATCATAAAGACCAAACAATAACAAAAAAAGGTAACCTGGTTAAAGATTCTCATAATGGCGTGTAATTAAAAATAAAATAAAACTGGAAGCTTCTTAAATGTCTAACAATAGGAGGGTGGTTAAATAAATTGTGGTCTAGTCATGTAATGGGCTGTTATAACGCAATTAAGAAAGACAAGTGTGAGAAACACAAAGACATCTGTAAAGACCTTTACGAAATAATGCAAAGGGGGAGGGGGTAAGAAGGATGAGGAGAAGAAAGTAGTCAATACCTACAACCAAGTAAGAGGAAAGGAGGAAAATGAATGGACAATCAGGATCCTATGGGGAGGGAGTGATGAGAATTTGTGATGATACCTTACATGTAGAAATTAATTAATTTAAGTATGGATTGTTCCTAAGTCAGTTTTGTTGGCTGAATTGATGTTCTGTATGAAGTTGTTAATAAAATATTTAATTTTTTAAAAAGGATTAAAAGGAAATATGTATTTTGTCAAGCAAAAAAAAAAAGTCTTTCCACATAAAGACTGTGATGGAATCTGTGAATCTGTATCTGCTACATTTCCCATTCATGGACAGTGTACAAATACATTTGGCATTATAGCAGCACGTACAAAGATTAATATTGTCAATCTAAGGAACTTCTTATATAATACTCATGAGATCACAAAGATACCAAAAAAAAAAAAACGCACATATTCACACATGATACATCTGTGGAACCAACTTCCTTCTGACTATTCCTACCCATTTGTTTTGTATCCCCCCAATTCCCTTCCCTCTCACCCCCTAACCCTTACACACACATGCGCATACACACACACACACACACACACACACACACACACACACACACACACACCCCAAATGTTATACAGCATGGTGTAGTGTTTAGAAAGCTGTCCTTGAAGCCACAGGAGACCTGGATTCAATTCCCACTTCAGATACACACTGATTGTATGGCCTTGGACAAGTCCTTTAACCTCTCAATGCTCTAGGGAGGTGTCAAATTCCATCAAAACTCCCAAGTGCAGCCTAAACTGAATTAAAATATAATTGGGAAATGGTGAACAAAATAAGTAAAAATACAATACCATATAGGTAATGTTAATCTGTAGTTTTCTAAGTCAATCTGCAGCCCACAGGGATTTCTTTCTGCTCAAGTCTGACACCACTGCTTTCCCTAAGTCTCTGAGTTGCTCAGAAGATGCTAACTTGCATGGGTAAAAGGAGTTTTCTCACTTGGGAGTTCCTGACCCCAATGAAATTACCAGTTCAGTCCCTATCCCTCTAGCATAAACCCAGTAGAGTGCCCTGCATGCGTAAGACGCAAAATAGCTAGTAGAAAGTGGATCGGCAGGCCCCCTTGGCATCCCTAGGTAGCTTTATTCTGGAAATAGGTAGTGGGGACTAGGAGGGAGGAGGAGGAAGGGAAACTTGACGATTCCTTTGTTCATCCTCAATTCCAACTTTGCCTACTAACTTCAAACTTTGGATAGCTGGGTTTTGCTTGGGACAAAATTGGAGAAGATTTTGTGATAGGGATTTTTGTGAGGCATGCTTTCCAATTTTCACATCCTTTGTTCAAGGGTTCTTTGTGCCAGTGGTCACCTCACCCTGGAAAAGACAGAATTCAGTTAGCAGCCATCCCTGAGTTTGTTTTTGGCCTCTATCAAAGGGGCCAGGACAGGAGTGCAGAGAGGACAATCTAGATGGGATATAGCCACTGAAGAGTGGCCGTGTTTCAATCACAGCCATTGTGTCTGCGTACGTGGTGGTTTGCCCAGAATATGTTTTCTTGAAATGATAAGTAGCAAACAAGGTATTGCTGTTCCTAATTCTGTTCCTGATATTCCTGGATGGCATCAGAGGAAACCTATATTTCACTTTTAGACAGTTATACTCCTGGATAATGATTTATCGTGCACATTCAAGGAAGGCAGGCTATTTGACCATTTTTATCTTAGTTCCTCCACGGTGTCCACAAAGCGTTTGCCAGCTCACAAGTGAAATGCAACTGTTTTGGTTAAAATATTTCTGAAGACAAACATAATAACATCAAAGGACTCTTTCCCCTTGTGCTGGAGGGGGGTGAGGTGGGGAGGGGCATTGTTCATTCTCACATTTTGCTGTGTTTTTTTTTTCTTTGTTGCCCTAAGTCAAAAGGTCCCTAAAGTGGGTACATTTTTTGTTCCCCCAACCCCAACTAGCTTTCTCATCCTTCTGTTACATTTTTCATATGCTAATCTAACTCATAGATCCTTTAAGATGTGGAATTGGGAAGGGTATAGACCAAGGGTTCTTAATTTTTTTTTTAATCATGGACCCTTTGGCAGTTTAGAGAAGCCTGTAGGTCCATCTCAGAAATAATATTTTTAAATGCCTAAAATAAATTATGTAGGATTACCAAGGAAATCAATTATATTAAAATATATTTATCAAAATATGAAAAAGAAAACAAGTTTATGGGACCTCAGACTAAAGACCTCTTTAACAGACAGATTTGCTTTATCATAGAAAAGAGAGAGGGATAATAGAAATGTAAATTTGGATCTGGAAGGGACCTCGGTGATCCCATTTTACACAATATGAACTTTGCCAGAGAGGCGGAGAGATTTGCCCACAGTCACAAAGTGGCAGAACTGGGATTCAAACCCCAGTCCTTTGACTTCAAGTCCAGTTTTATTTTTACCCTACAAGGATTTGAAACTAGAGGCATCATTCAAAGTCCATGGCCAGTATTTGAAATCAAGTTCACTATGATCATAACATATAGATCATAACTCATGTATGATAAGTATAAACACACAGAGAAATACTGAACAATCTTAAAGAAAAAAAAACACAAATGTCAATATGATTTTATAGTTAATTCTAAGTAAAAGTATAGTAGATGACTATCAACATAGAGCCTGTGGGATTAGGTAAAAGAAAAAGAAGACCACAGCCACCCTGACTAATAGCTGCTATTAATATGGCAGTATGTCTTAATACGATAAGGAATGCCAAGAATTCTGTCTGGATCCTAGGTAGCATTTGACAGTGACCTTATTAAAAAAACACCTGGCATGAAATATACATAAACTAATAAATAAGCTAATAATAAGTGTATTGAATTTGTTGAAATCATTATTTTGCAGCCCCAGTCAGGGAATATGAGAAGCACATTCCATAGCCCAAACAATGATCAAAGTGACCATTATTCCTGCCAGTCTTGGCACACGTGCTGCTCAGGAATGGATTGATTAAAAGAGGGATTAACTCCCTGCTGTCCCAAGTTTGTTTCAATGAACCAAGCTTGCCTGAAAAACTGGTTGGAAACATGCTTGACTTGAGCTCTTGCTGTTTTCTGTGCTTCTCTCAAGTCTGGCAGGCTACGGGCTGATGGTTCCCGCCCTCAGCATCCGCCCCTCCCCAACACCAACTCATACTTCTCTAGGGTTTCTATAGTTGCTGAACTCAAGTCTGTGATATGTCATGCTAGTGAGGTCCAAGCTTATTCTGTGGGGGATATGGCCAAAGAAGCCCAGAAAAGGTGTAAATATTATGATAAAGAATATTATGAAAGCTATGAACATTAATGTACTGGAAAATCCAGTTACAACCAATCCTGAAAATTGAATTAAAAAGGAATAAAAAACAACAACATAAAATACAAATATGGCAGATAACATATCACCTTATGACTTTGTAAGAGAGAAAATATATATGTATATATATGTATACAAAGATACACACACATATATATATACATACATACATATCTATATCTATATCTACATATTCCTTAGGTTACACTTTATAGTTATGGTATCTGGAAGAGGTAGCATTATCCAGTGGGGTGGCTTCAAAGTCAGGTAAATGCAAGTTTAAATCTTGCCTCTTATCAATGCAGATCTGGTGACCATGGGCAAGTCACTTAAAGTCCTAATCACTCAGGCATCCTTCTAAGATTGTAAATTACAGATTTAATATAGATTATACTCATTAAGTGTTTCCTTACTTCGATACTGCCTGATAAACATACTAGTTAGTCTGTGCCTTGCAGGATGGTGAAATCATAGGTTTCTAAGAAGAGCTAGTCCCTACTTTGAGCCCTGGTAGCTTTCCTACAGCTGAAACAAGACAACAGTTTGCCCCTTCCTCGGTCTCTCACTTCATGCAAAAACCTCATGATTACATTTCATTTAGAGTACTATATACATATAAGTTACTGATTTGGACTATAAGTCATAGTCTCAAAGTTACAGACCATAAGTTGCTGATTAGTTTTGGGAGACAGTTTCCAACTCAGAAATTGAAATCACAGGTCCAGACTTTGCTCCTCTCTCCTTTAAAAGAACAAAACAGACCGTGTCATCCAGAGGATTTGTCCCTTCCCTCCTACACTCATAATCTTTAGGTAGTTTGAGCTTTGTATCTTGTTATCCCTTTGATGCTAACCATTTGTGCCCACTCATTCTATTTCCAGACCCAACACTGCCTTGTTGGATCCTAGCTCTCCTGAATTCTCTGCTGTGGTATCTGTAGGTGATTGGCTGCAAGCCATTAAAATGGACCGGTATAAGGACAACTTTACAGCTGCCGGTTACACCACCCTCGAGGCTGTGGTGCACATGAACCAGGAGTAAGTACTCAGCGATGTAACAAAAAAGGGTAAATCTAGATTTAATCAGTCTTTTAAATTTAATTTAATTTTATTTATTTATTTTGCTTGGAGCTTGCATACTCATCTTGCTCATTATGACATGGAATGCCTCTCATTTTGATCAAATGTAATTTTGCACAGCACCTACATTGTTACATTAAATTGCTTAATTAAACATTTCTGTACACCTGTCTTGTTGTGCTGTATTAATTGTGCCTGATTCATATATGTGGCTATATCAGCCTCGGAAAATGAGAACCTGAGCCCTCTTTTCTCTCTCTTTTCTCTCTCTTTTGCCCCCGATGTAGTGACCTGGCGAGAATCGGCATCACAGCTGCCACACACCAGAACAAGATCCTGAACAGTGTCCAGGCAATGCGGACCCAAATGCAACAGATGCATGGCAGGATGGTTCCTGTCTGAGCCAGTACTGAATAAACTCAAAACTCTTGCAATTAGTTTACCTCATCCATGCACTTTAATTGAAGACCTGCACTTTTTTTACTTCGTTCTCGCCCTCTGAAATAAAAATCTGCAGCATTGCTTGGTGGATGGAATTGCTGAAACTGTGGGCCTCCACTATAGAAATGACAACACGTCATTGAAACCAGACCTGGAACAAATTGTTTCTCAAAATATATTGCCGTCAATCCACAGTGTGTAATATACATGTACCTATATAAATATAACATCACCTCCAAGTTTTTGGTGTTGTGTTCGTTGCCAGATGCTGGGCTTCTACCCACAGCCTTTCTCCTCTCCCCTTGGAATTACATCCATAGTATTTTATTTGTGGGATAAATCACACTCCTGCATCTTTCACTGGAATGTAGAATTTGCTCAGAAAATCCTCGACAGACTTGATCTTGGCTTACAGGGCATCATAGATACTGAGGGAAAATCTCCGTGAAAAATACCATGTGGCTGCTCAGTGCCTCGTCATAGGTGCTTGGCTGGGGCCAGGCTTAAGCTGCCTTGTGGATTACTGGAAAAGAAAGGAAGAAAGAAAGAAAAACAGGGAAAAAAAACATAACACACCAAAACCTCTACAAATGAGGTCTGTTTCTTTTCTGGTTGTTTCTGTGCCATATAATATCTTATCCTATGAACGCTATGGACTTTTTGTAACTACCTTACTGACAGCTGCCTGTGACAATCTTGAATTGGTAACTTCCATACTTCCCTCGTTTTTTAGAAGCAACCACAAAGCGAAAAGGTCAGTGAAAGAGCAAACAATGCATTTCCCTCCATCCCAGCATATACCACTGTTAAGTGTCTCCTTACTTGAAATACCATCTGATAAACATGCTATTTAATCTGTGCCTTGCAGGACAGTGAAATCATAGGTTTCTAATAAGAGGTACTCCCTACTCTGAGCTCCGGTAGCTTGTCGAGGGCTCAAGCAAGACAACAATTTGCCCTCGCTCAGTCTCTTACTTCGTGCAAAAATCTAGTGATTACATTTCATTAAGAACAACCTTTGATGACCCTGCTATAACTCTGGCTGAGCCAGAGAGAGCATCTTTCCATATTTTTCCAGCCTTCTGTAATAAGCTAATCCAACTATATTTATTATTTTCCATTTTTTATTGCTACCATTTGCGTTAAAAGAAAAATCACAGTTGTTTCTCGGTATTTGAAATGCCCATGTCATTGAACCTACTCTGGTAAAGTATCTGGGTCTGACAGTATGAGGCAATAATCCAGACCTCTACTCCCCTACTTCTCTATATGTCAACCCCCGATCTATAGAACTCACCCTAGAACTAACTTAATTTGCAATTAAGATGAGATTATCTGTCTTTTAATATTTTCATTTACTTTATTGTAGGCATATTTTTATGGTATTGCTTCATTTACTCTACATCATTTCTTAGCATGTCTCTGAATTAGTGATATTTATTTTCCTTCAGAATGAATTAATGAATGAAAAAATTTATTATGCTCTTACTATCTTCTAAGTATTGCGCTAAGGGCCAGGAATACATGTACAAGCGAGCAAGATAGTACCTTACTTGATAAGTTTGTATTCTAATAGGGGAATGCAACATACAGGTAGAAGAGTACAGGCCAGGGAAGGGCACTTAGGACCATTATAAAGAACAATGATATGTCCTTTCTGGGAACAATGGAAGAATTTATTTGATAATGGTTCAAGACCTGGAAAGAGGAGACAGGGAAAGGGTATGCAAATGGCAGCAAGGTGGATGATGGGTCTGTTGAAAAGACTGTTGTGGACTGGGGAAATGAAGTGAAGCATGGCTGAAACCTGACTGAAAAAGTAGGTCAGGTGAGACAGTTTTCAATTAAGAGAGCAGAGGAGCGGAAAGGTGGAAATTTCAGAGATGATGATGGAATTAAAACATTCTAGACATGGTCTCAGGTCTAGGCAACAAGGCTATTTAGAGCAATAGGCATCCATTCTGATGATCACTGGGTGGTGTAGTGGATAGATCTTTGAACTTGGAGTAGGGAAAACCTGAGTTCAAATCTTCCCTCTGCCATTTACTGTATGCCCCTGGGCAAGTCACTTAACTTGTGTTAATTTCCTCAACTGTAAAATGAGACTAATAATAGCACCAGAGTTGTTGTGAGGCTCAAATGTGATAATGCTATAGAAATGATAACTATTACTAATCTGATTTTTGTTTTTGTTTTGCCAGTACTAGTACTTTGTTAGAGTACTGCTGTTACTATTTTGTTATATAGGATAGGGCACTGGCCCTGAAGTCAGTAGGACATGAGTTCAAATCAGGCCTCAGACCAAACACTTGACACTTACTAGCTGTGTGACCCTGGGCAAGTCACTTAAACCCAATTGCCTAAAAAAAAATATTTTGTTATATAAAGGACCTATCTACCCTTCTGTCACTGATCTCTTTGGTACAGTGTGATTTCTGGGTCAGAGATCAATTAGTTGCTTTTTTTGCATAATTATGAAATTTGAGAGATATTTCTTAACAAATAGTTCAGGGAGTCAGAGTAGCCTTTAGTGAAATGAGAAGTGACACTGTTCTAAGTCTAGTGGAATAAATAGACCCAGATGCTTAGAAAATCCAGAATACTTTTATAAGTTGGGGAATTTTTCTTCTGGGTAAAACTAAATACATGAACTTTAGAAGAATATGATCAATCAATAATTAATCATTAAGAGCCATTGTTGTTGTTGAGTCAGACTCTTTGTGACCCTATTTGGAATTTTCTTGGCAAAGATACTGGAGTGGTTTACCATTTCCTTCTTTAGTTCATTTGACAGATAAAGAAACTGAGGCAAACAGGGATAAGTGATTTGTCTAGGGTCACACAGCTAATAAGTGCCTTAGGCCAGGTTTGAACTTAGGAAGATGAGTCGTCCTGACTTTAGGACTTGGTGCTTTATGCACTGAGCCACCTATCTGCCTACTATTAAAAACCCACTATGTGCCATACACTCTATGGAAGAGAAGTTATTGACAATGAATAGATGCACAGGGTTCTATTCAATCCTGGAGAACTTACACAGGAAAAATAGCAAACAGGCTTTATATAGATGGGATACTTAGACTCGTGGAGGAGTTGAGACCTTTCCATAGGCAGTAGCCCTCTCCCTGCATGCATCCATTTTCAGATCTTGTTTAGAGATGGTCCAAGATGCAACGATATTCCTCCAGGAAGGACTCTGCAATGGTGAATGTGGGCAAATATGTACTCTGTGTCAACATAGGTAGAGTTCTGATTAGGACTAGCCTTGGATTTTGTAGATCCTATGGCTTGGGGTACCCAGACAGTCCATGAGAGTAGGGCATTGGGAAGAAAAAATGGAGAGGAGTAACTCACATTCCTGATCCTACAAACTACACCAAGACAAGGAGAGGAGGAACAGTTCACCACTCTCCAGTTTGATGGAGTGAAATCTCAGGAGCCTCCCCTTTCCTTTCATTGAACTTGGAGGTCTTGGAAAGCCCTCCTTTTAGACCATCAGTTCCTTGAAAGCAAGGACTGGGAATGTTTTTTGCTTTTCTTTGTATCCCTAGCACTCAGCACAGTGTCTGACACAAGTTAGGTGCTTAATGAATGTTTATTGACTCTGACTCTGGCACATACTAGGCACTTCATAAATATTTATTGACTTATTAACTGAAGGAGAAACACTTCAAGGCCCTCTTTTCTTTTTTCTTTAATATTCCTTTACTGTCAAATTTATTAATGCTAAGAGCATTAAACAGGACCAGATAGGGAGGGCCCCCAATTAGGGGATATGAAACAACTGGTCCTGACTTGCCCCATTCTGAAGATTGCACTGAGATAATCCCCCACTTCTTCCCTTTTCATTCCTGAAGACTTGCATTGAAGGGCTCCATTCCACACACCTCAGCTATAATTTAGAAAATTCTTCTTCAAGTTGTTGGCTTAAAGAGCTCCTCCATTCATTCCCCAACACGAAACCCTGGATTATTTTTTTCTTTTTTGGACTAGGAAAATCTAACTTCTTTATCTATGCCATTTCTATCAACTCTAAACAATGGCAGACTGATTTTAACAACATTTCCCCCCAGGCTTTAACCTGAAAGCTACTTCTTTAGTGCGTGCGATGTTAAATTTGATGCTGTCAAATGATGGCAGTTGGGTTCAAACCTCATTTGCAATACTGGTAGTAAAATCCTTTCTGTTCAGAAGGAATGTGAGATTTGTTTAAAAAAAAAAGAAACTATTCCAATGATTCACATTTTAGTGCCGCTACTGCTGAAGCCTAGGAGACCTACATATCCATAGGAAGATATGACAAACGTAAATTATTTTTTTACTTGTTTGGAGTCACTGGACCTTCCACTCTCTTCAGGAAACCTATAGAGAATTTTTATTTTCTCCTTCTGTGAACAAATTCCAAAGACACATTTTATCTTTTAAGGGGGAAGGGGGCAGAAACCAAGCCAAAAGGAAAACAAAAATCAACCACCAGGATTTATATCAGAAGATTCTGGAGAATTTAGAATTGTTTTGATGTTAACTAAGTTGACATTTACATCATAAGGTATCTCAGCTGATTCTTACAACAGCCTGTGAAGTAGGTTTTGTCTTCGTTGTCCAGATGAAGCATAGACGGATTAAATGGTTTGCCCAGGATCTCACAGCTAGTAGGTGAGATTTAAATCTAGGTCCAGTGTTATTTTCAGTGATAATAATAATAATAATAATAATAATAATAATAATAACATTTATACAACACTTTTAAGGTTTGCAAAGTATTTTCATATCTCATTTGATCCTCCCAACAATCCCGGGAGGTAGGTGTTATTATTGTCCCCATCTTACAGATGAGGAAACTGAGGCATACAGAAGTTAAGTGACTTGCCCAGGATCACACAGCTAGTAAATATCTGAGGCCAGATTTGAACCCAGGTCTTCCTGATTCCAGATCTATCCACTATGCTGCATGATATTTGAGTCAAGTAAACAAGTACTTATTAAATATCTACTATGTGCCAAGCACTGTGTTAAGACCTGGAGATACGAGGAAACTTCAGATAATTCCAAAATATTCTTCAAAACTTCTATAGTTGTGAACCCTGGCATTAGTTAATTTTCTCACACTCAGTAAGTACTTCTATAAAGCAGGGACTTGTAGGTGACTAAAATGAAGGTCAAGGTTGAAACCATTTTTATAATGAATTTGTTTCAATGCTGCCTTCTTAGTCTAACAACTTTAACAAGAGAAACGACAAAAAAAGCCTTTGCAAATTGTCTGTGTACTACTGGCTAAGGACATTAAAGGTATTTTTGCTTACCTTTCCCACTGACGCACTATAGGCATCAGAGTAAATATATAACAAAAATAGAAATGTGGGCAATGGGAGGAGGTGACAAAACACAGCCTAAGACTGAGAATCAGGCAGATACCTGTCTACACTGAGTGTGACCCTGGGAAAGTCACTTAGCCTTTTTTGTAGCTCCATCTTTCCACCTGAAAATTAAGGATAATGATACCCTAGTAATGATACGTTAGCTAACTCACAGGGATGTTGTAAAGATATATGAAATATTCTTATGTGAAACACCCTGAGCCCCTGAGAAGAAAGGTGCTATATAAATCCAAGGTAGTTGTAGTATCATTCATCCATCTTTCACTGGTGATTCAGAGTGTTTTATTGAGACATGCCAGACAGAGGTGAAATTAAGTTCATTAACATAGTGTAGTACAGAAAGGGACTTACTCTTTTTGTACAAGCAAGCATATTTTAAAATTCAATTAAACAAAGTCTCGAACATATCATTCCCCCCCAACCCTCCCTTCTTTCTAACTTCTCAATTATTGTCAACAATATGATCATCCTTTCAGTCACCCATACGTGCAAGCCAGTTATCATACTATACTCTCTCTCTCTTTCTCTCTCCTCTACTCCTTTCATTGTCTCTCTCTTTCTTTGTCCCCCACTCTCCTCTGTCTCTATCTCTCTCTGTACCTACTATGTGTCACACAATTCATTTGAAAAGCCATCTTATTATTATCTAATATGTTATCTTTTTTTCTTGGTACTTTGTCATCAATCAATCAAAAATATTTCTTTAGCATCTACTACATCCTATGTATGGGTTCTAAGTGCAAGGTATACACTGTAAAAAAAAAAAATTAGTCACTACCCTCTAGGAATTTTCAACACACACACACACATATATGCAATATATATATATATATATATATATATGTATATATAAATTCTGATTTGGAATTGCTGGTATCAACTAGATATGATACTTAAGGATTTTATACTGTATTAGTTTGTGCAACAAAAATTTACCGAGCACCTGCCATATATAAACAAGTTTCTGCGTGCTTAGGCAGATAATGTTTAGATAAGATATAGCCCCTGACATCATGAAGTTTACAATGGGAAAATCTAATGTGATTATTTCACATTCTGCAATTAAGTGCTTAATACCTCTCCACAAAGAGTTATGGAACGTAGGGTTTTAAAATTGGAAAAGCCCCTAGAGAAGATCTAGTTGGATTCTGAGGTAGTGAAGCCTTTTTATTCCTATTTTTCAGAAGAGAAAGCCAAAGTAGAAAGGTTTAGCAAAATTACATGACTTTACTAAGATTAGAACTTGAGGACCTTTTTCCCATCTCATTTTGGAGGTTGCTGCCTGACTCGCCAGTCGTATTTTCTATCTAGATCTTTTTGTAGAGAAGACTTGAAGTTAGTTACGTGTCTGCCTCTAAACTTTGCCAAAACATTTGTCTAATATATTCCTGTCTTTTCTTCTATTTGTAGGGAAAGTGGATTCTTTTTTTTTTTTTTTTTGGCCTCACAGCCCTGTCCATTGATCACATTGACCATGGGGAAAAGAAATTCAAGAAGCCAAACTTGAACTTGAATCCTTCCAAATTCCACGGGCCTCCTGCTTCCACTACGCCAGTTTGGGATGGGGCAAAGACACTGGACAAAAAAAAGCATTGGTCCCTAAAAAAGCAAAAGCATGTGACTTTCAGATTTCCTTTTTTTTTTTTTTTACATTGGAAGAAGACACCATCACCACGACCAACACCACCACCAAACCTCCTAGGCTCAGCATCGATTCTCTCCAGTTGTCACTTTGAGGAATGTACTGTATTGAAGCTCTAGCCCTGCAGAGTCCCTGTTTTTCTCCTTATTATGATTTTATTTATACATATTTCCATTGCTCTTTCCTGTATGTCACTGCTGCATCTGGATGATGGCAAGTGACCCAACGCTACAGGTCTTAACATGGACACCAAGTCAGGTGCCACCACACCGAACAAAGCCAGTTCATGGGAGCTGCCTAGTATATGCATTGCTGAAGTTACATTTTACACAAGATGTGCCATTGCAGTGATATAAATATATTTTTTTTCTAGACTAAATAATGAGCTATCTCTTTTGATGTGTGTACATATGGGTGAGTGAGAGTGTGTGTGCGTGTGCGTGAATGAGTGTGAGTACAGGCATGTATGTATATGTATTATCTCATGCTTAGAACTGCCTATGGATATTTTGGAAAGCCCCTCATAAGGTGCTAGCTTTCCACTACATCCAAGCTGACAAACTACATGAGATAGTAGGTCTGTAGACTACGTCTTTCCTACTAGCAAGAAAACACAGAAGTGTTAAATTTCCTGTATCTCTAAGTGTATTTTGTAGCTGCCACGCTAACCTTAATCAATAATCCTGCAGCCTAAGACGGAGGCACTTTCACCTTAGTTACGGAACAAATCATGGGAAAAAAAAAAAGTCCGTTCAGGTGATGGAGCGGCCATCAATGTTGCTAATTCTGATTCAAGTCATTCTCAGAATCACACTTATTGAAAGAGGGAAGGGGATGAGATCTGTATCTGGTTACCTGAAATGTAAAACAACAAAAGCCTATTTTCCTGCATAAATGGACTTGTTAAATGTGAACAAATATATGCAATTCTTATATACAGTCAGAGCTGCACTCTGATATCAGTGTCAGATGCTGAGAAGGTTGTGTCCTGTAATTAATAGCTTGTCTCCCAACATCACAGAAAACCACATGCCAGTGGTTCTTGAGGGTACACCCTTAGGTCTACGACAAGTAGCTTCGAGCACTTCCAAGTTCCAAATTTTCATGGAAAGTTACTTTCGTAAAAGGAAATATTCTACCATAAATTCCTGTGGCCCTCAAAATGGCACCAGCATCTAGAATCCAAGGTCTAGAATGTGAAGATTTAATCTTGACAAATGCTACTCTTCTTGGACGGGAAATGTATACCAAACTCCAGCCAACGTACTGCCGTTCTATGGGTTCAGTTAAGGGACTGCCATGCATGATGGTTGCAAAGATTGCTATAGCATCATGTTTCAGGATAAAAAAGAAAAACTCCACTAACAAGAGGCAAATTGCTGAACCTATGCCCACCATCAACCATCGTTGATTGTATTCAGACAGGGTGTGGGGCACTGTACTCTAGAAACTGTACTAGAGAGTCAAAATTAATTTTCCTGTGTGTTACCCCTCCTTAGGCCCTTATTTTTTTTTAAAGGGAAGTGCCTATAAATAGATACTTGGAGAATAATAATATAAACCATAGGATGCTCTAAGCAGACTCTCTCTCTCAAATATAAGTTTATTTCCTGATCTCTAAAATGAGAGGGGTTAGATAATTGGCCAAAGAGGTCTACTGTGCTAGAAGCAGAGAACAGGATGAGTGACCTGTTTTTGCTCCGCTCTGTATCTTCCCTAGAACCTAGCACAGTGCTTTGCACATAGTAGGCACTTAATAAATGTCTTCTTTTTAATTGAGTCGAATCAATTGTGATCTGAGTACTGTCACACAAATACAGCGTGCTCAGATAGCAAATTACCATCAAATCGTGAACAAGACAGCTTTAATTAATCTCTCTCCTCACCCCAGACCAAATTAAATGATGCCAGTATTTGTCTGCCGACCCCTTGTTATTGAAGGAAGTTATCAATGGGACACACTACCAAGCAAACTCCAGTACTTTGGGGGTCAAGGGAGGGAGGCAGGCTAGGGGAAGGTTGTGCTCTTGACACTGCTGGTAAATATACTTTGAGATCTCTTGCTGTATTCAGTTTATGATGGAGATGTGTATTAATGCGTACACATTTATATCCATGTATATGTTTGAAGACAAAAAAATTCTCACCAGGAAATGAAACTTTTGAAAGCAATATTTTCATTTAACATTCTCCTACCAAGAACAAACACTGACACAAACTAAAGAGTGCATTTATTTTTTTGTATCACTGCAAGTATATTGGAATATGCAAGGACTGTGGTTAAAATTAGAATGTATAAGGCATATTATAATTTAGTTCATGCTAAATTTTTTTTAACAGACCATTGCTTGGTTCATAAATGTCCATGAGTTTGAGTGATCTCTGAGTTAGACATAGATTTTCTATTTTGTTTTAATTTGTCATTTTTTTTTCCTATTTGGACTTTAGGTACACATAACTTATGTCATTTATTTATGGTCTTTTATACCTAGTTTGTAAAATTGTAAAATAGCAAACTCAATGCAAAAGTTTGCATTTGAAAATAATAAAGTAGTTGCTGTATCAACAAGGAAAAGAGTTGCTTCTTTTCAATGTCTTTGTGCCAAGTAAGACGTTTCTGTGAATTTCTTTCCCCTGAATCTATTGTGCTCCATTTGTCGTTGAATCATGATTCAAGTATAAAAGCTTGAAGTGGCCCCAACTTCATGCAACACAAGCGTACATGTTCATCTCAGCTCCACCCCTAGCAACAAGGAAATAGCACATAGACCTGAGAGTTTACTAAATTGCCCGACTTCAGCATCCTCACCACCTGATGGGCTCCCTCTTGCCACCCCCTTGCATGGTGACTGTCCTCTGGTATATATGAGTCCTACACTGAATGGAACAGCCAGGCATCCCCAAACAGGACAGTAGTTTTAAGGAACAAGGTCTTTCAAACAACAATACCACATCACTAATCATTTATTTGAAGACCTCGGCATGATGCAGAGGGAGAATCTCAGGATGAATAGGGTAGAAGTGGTCCTTTTTACAGCATCAAATCTTACTGAGAGAGATTAGGGATAGGAATCTTAGGACAAGTCTCATTCCTGTTGGTGATGATTGTTCCAAGGGTTCCATCCAAGGCCATTCTTGCAAACAGGTAGAGTAATTAGCACTTTAAGGTGGGCATGGAGTCAAAAAACCTGAGTTCCAGTTCCTCAACCTGCCACTTACTACCACTTGACTTTGGACAAGTATTTCTAATTCTCTTGGCCTCAGTTTCCTTATCTGTAAAATGAGGCGATTGCTCTAAATGGGGTTAGATTCCTCTTAGCACTGGCACTTTTATGGTGAATAGTGGGGATCTTCATTCGAGTAGGCAAAGTTGATGACCCCTTCCCAGAATATGTCTTATACTACCTCTCTGAAATGCCACCAAAAGATCAGTCCCTGCCCTCAAAGAAATCACATTTTATTGGAAATCACAGACTTCTTCCTGAAAAGCCTTCTAGTCCAACCCCCTTATTTTAGAGATGAGGAACCTGAAGCCCAGAGATGTTGAACCACTTTCCAAAGGTCACACAGGCAGTAATGTTTGGAATTCAAAATAGCGCTCCCTCTTAATACCACATTGAACTCAAAAAGATCCATTTCTTTAAGCTCTGAGGCTTTTGATTTTCTTGTAAAAATTCAGAAAGCCCTTGGGAGTGTGTGTGAAAATGATACCCTAAGATAAAATTATTTGACAAGGAGTAAAGAACTCAGGGTGGGGCTTAGAAGAGGGGGGCAGGCAGGAAGATGGTGCAGTGGATAGAGCTCCAGCCTTGGAGTCTGGAGGACCTGGGTTCAAATCTGGCGTCAGATACTTGAAACTTAATAGCTGTGTGACCCTGGGCAAGTCATTTAACCCTGATTGCTTCACTAGAGAGAGAGAGAGAGAGAGAGAGAAGGGATAAAGACAGGAGTCAAGGAACAGAACAGAGAGGGAGTAAAAGATTTACTTCTTTCGGCATTTTACCTAGGGCCAGTCCTCTGTTCACTATAATCCTATGGAACTAGACAAATATATACTTTTATTCTACATAGAAAGCTGTTAGTATGGAGTTGCTTACTTCTAGGCTGAAAATATCACTAGGTTAGAGAAGAGTTAATGATAATACTCTAAAGTTTGCAAAGCACTTGTAAGCACTATTGATTTTGTCAAGTACTTTGAAGATGCTAGTTGCATTTATATAATGCTTTAAGGCTTGCAAAGTACTTTATAAATATTATTTCATTTCATCCTCACAACAACCCTGGGTGGTAAGTGCTATTATTGTTCCCATTTTACAGATGTGAAAACTGAAGCAAAAGGCCATTAAGTCTCTTAGCCAGTGTCCCATAGTTAGAATGTGTCTGAGACTTTGCATGTATTATCTTATTTGATTAGATTCACGGAATTCGTGGAAGATTAAATTCAAAGGAGAACACTCGAGATTTTGTAGGGATAAGGCTGATAGGTAGAAACCTCTAAATCTTTGAATTTGACAAAGGGCAAATACAACATCCCTCATCATTGTGAGAGACTTTGAGCTACATGGACCCTTGAATCAAACTTGTATAACATTTCTTGTGTTCTTATTGTCCCTTCTGCTCTCACACTTTTTAAATTTGATTTTTTACTTTTGTATTATATACCTCTGAATTTTTCTAAGCTAGAGATCAGCTCCTCACTTAAAATAAATAATTATTTCCTTATAAACAGTGCTTTTGTGCCCACTCACACCCTTCCCAAAGGAGGCTCCAGAGAGACCTCAGTGTCAAAGCAAGCAATGCTCCCTCTTATCATATTGTTCCAACTACAGTTTTCAGGTAAATCAGTCCTCAGTTACCTATAGCTCCACAGTAGCTATCCATCCAGTTAGAGAGACAATGCAGTATATAATGAAGAGAGAACAAGTTCTGGAACTAGGAGGTCAGATCTGGCTTCTAATGCTTGCTCACTGAGTGACCATAAGAAATCACTTAACCTTGGCATGCCTGAACTTCCCCATCTAGAAAACAGGGGAGTTGGGCCAGATGTAGCCCTCCATGTTCCCTCCTAGCTCTAACTCTGTGATATTAAGACTTTCTTCAGTTGCTGGTCACTTCCCAAAGATGGTCAGTTGTTATCCTTCAGTCTCACAGAGGAACAAAATGACATCATTATGTTAAAGTCAAGTTACAGTGTGTCCAACTACGACTGATCAGACCATTATGAGCTCAGAATGTTCTACCACAGGTCGGGTGCAAATAGTCCATGTGAATATTTGGGGTAGATTCTCTGAATTTGCACATCTCACATTTCTTTTGAGCTACTTCAATTCTACTTTGCTCACAGAACACAGTACCTTCTTTGACATGGGCACACCATGC